GTCCATCGTCTCCCCTCAAGGCTTCAGGGAGAAGACCACCATCTCCCTGCCTACCGGCACCATTCACACTATAGCCGAGGCTAAGACCCGGCCCAAGGTTACCACCGCTCGCAACACTTGAGGGGTAACCTGTGGCATTGCTAGACTGACTAACGCCAGCGCCAACCCCTTGGTGACTAACTCCACCTCCGTAGGCAGGGCCATAGAAGCTGGAACCACACTGATTGTTCCCAATTCCATGGGCATCCGCAGCACTACCGTGGAACCCAGGCGCTCCACCAGGGTAACCCCCGGTAGGAGCCCCTCCACTCGGGCCTCCAGAAGGCCCAGCGGGATCTTGGCCTCCACCATAATGTCCAGGACCTGGCGGTGGAGCTGGGGCATGTCCAGGCCCACCACTTCCGCTTCCACCTTGACCAGGTGGTCCGCCTTGCCCACCACCTCCCCCGGGAGGAGGAGGAGGGGGCGGTCCAGCTTGAGCGCGTTCATGCCGAATATTGCAGCGTGCACATCGCTCAAGGCCGTCATTTCCGAAGTAACTGTGATTCTCACAGACGTGAGTCCCACAATCCGTGCAGAGATACATGGAGACCTCCTGAGCATTCTTGCGGCATGCCCAGCATTTCATCTTCAAGAAATGACAATTGCAACAGTCCCCATCGTCACCACGGCAAAGCCCGCAGAACTCACGACTGCATGTCACACACGAGAATTCAGCATTCGGGTGTCTACGGTCGTTGGGATCATCAAGGGCACAAATCTTCGGCGCGTCTGGGCCATCACCGCCGGGAGCCCCTCTTGCAGCCGGCGCTGAGGCCTGTCCACGATCCGAAGGAGCTCCAGCAGTCCCTCGCCTATCGCCGGGACTCTGGTTGTCGGCGCTGATTCTGCTCCCAGGAGTCCTCCACTCATCACCAGGACTCTGGATGTCGGCATGGGCCCTATTATCCCCACCACCTCCTGAATGACGACCTGGGTTCGGAGAGACGTTTCCGCTATCGCGGATTGGCCTATCAAAATTCGGAGAGACGCTCCCGCTATCGCGGATCGGCCTCTCCCCCCTCGGTTGTCGACTCCGGGCCTCAGATCCCCTATCGGGGACGGCAGCAGGCCTCGGGCTCCTATTCCTACCCGCATCCCTATTGGGGGAAATAGAAACGTCCCCCCTTGCGCGCGCGCGGGGACCACCCCTTGCACGCTCCGGTGGCGAATGCGACCTGTCAGGCAACCCCCGAACCCTCCTGCTCCTGCTGTCGGACCTCTCCCTAACGGGATAGATGGGATGCCTGTCTGCGCGAGAAGGATCGACCCTATCGGGCACATTCGGCAAAACATGATCAGGCAAAATAACGCCTTCGCCTGGTCTTACCGGCAGGCCAGTACCCCGGCCGTCACCCTCCCCTGGTGTAGGCGTCGGTGACCTGATCCTATGTCCTTGCCCCGCAAACGCATGGTAACCAACATTCCGTCTTTCTCTGGGTTGTGGAGGAGCTTCATTAATCTGCTGGACACCCTGAAGCATGCCAGCAGCCTCGTCAAATTGACCCTCCATTTCAAAGAGCTGGGACATGATTCTGTTGTTCGCGGCGCTAAGGTTACGCACGTTACCATCGATAGCGCTGACTCTCCGCATAACACCTTCAAGTGTACTCCGGAATGTGCCGAGCTCTCGCCTAACGGCAGGCTGCACTTGGTCACTGCTGGCAGGAAGATTACGGATCTGCCCTTGGATGCCATCAACGACCCGATTCACAATTGCCGATCTCGCTTCATACTGTTCAACATGTGACTTCACGGTTTCAAACCTCGAAATGATGTCGTCATGATCCCGACGTTGACGTTGAATTCCTCGAGCCAGATCATGCATCTTCCGATTGATCTCGTCAACAGCCTCATGCCAGTCCTGCGGGGAATCATGCCCTGATGGTCTATCGACCTCCTGAGAACCCCTTCCACTCTGCAGTCTAGACACTCGATTAACAAGACGAGTGTGCTCTTCTTTGACCCCTTCAATAGATTCAGAGGCCCACTTAGCAAACTTCTCGTGTTCAAGGAGAGCTTCCTCAATCTTCAGGTTTAACTCCCTGAAATTCGCGTCAACCACACTGCTGCTGGCCCTATCGGACAGATTCGCGACAGGATTCGGGTTCCATACACCTGCCGGTGTCCGCATCCCAACGGTTTTCTCTACCGAGAACATCCGTTTCTCAAGCTTGTCCAAATCCTTAAGGGTCTCGTCCTCAGAAGCAGCATGGCTTCTGCGGGCAGCCTCACTATTTTCCTGAATCATCAGGCGAAGCCGATCAGTCGATGCCTCATTGTCCCTGACAGATTCATGGACCTCGTGGGACAATAGGTTAATCCTCTGCTCCACGACCTCGGCTTGCTCATCGATGGCTTGCCTCATAATGGCCTTGCTATCGGGAATAACTTCCCTTGCGAACCGTTGAACTATCATTCGCATCCTCCCGGCATCAGATTGGGTCGCAACCTCAGCTGCCAGGCGATCGACCTTGTCCTTTGTCCGTTGACTCTCGTCGCTCCATTCCCTTCGCATGGAACTCACCTGACCGTTCAGTACCCTGATTTGGTCAGCAAAGATGTGGAACGCCTTCGCGACTGAGCCGGAAACCTCACCTCTCTCGAGCATCTCCTGGATGTGCAAATCGAACACCTCCTTCGCCCTAGCGTCAGCTGATTCGCCGGAAGACTGGGATCTGAGGGCGGGAGGAGTCGATATCTCGATCCTCTCAGGAGCCCCACTAGCCCCGGCATGTCTTCCGGGGTCATCCACGGGACAATCATCAATCCTGGATGGTCTACTCGGGGTAGATCCCCTTCTCCGGCTATCGCCAGATCGAGGATCAATGTTGGATGCACGTGACTCGGGGGTGGAGTGGATGTGAACATCAGCGGGATCGGGCATCTCCTCATCCTGCGGAGTTGAATCCATTGGTGAGGGGCTAGCCCTCCTCGCCTTTGACCTATCGGTCTCAGCGGCGAGAGGTGGCGGTCTCTTTGCAGAAACACTACGTTCCCTGGCAGTCGAACCCCATTGAGGTGTGAACTCGTTGCTTGACCTCAGAGTTTCAAGATCACTGGTATCTCGCCCTAACGGGCTAGCGATCGACGGACGATCTTCGATCCCGAGTGCATCGGCAAGCCGACCATCTCTGGCACCTGTCCTAACAACATCGGCAGCCCGCTCAGTGATCCTCGGTGAACCAGTAACCCGGTTCGAGCTCACGTCTCTCTGACTCAACGGACCTCCAAATGTGATGTTGGGAAAGGGGGGAACATTCGGGGAATCACCAATAGCCGGGGGACCTACCGGTCCCTCGCGGTCATGAATGGCCTCCAATCCCCGAAGAACTTCCCGACTTTCCCTGGCTCTCTCTCTCTCGCTTCTGGCGTCCCTGTCAACACGAAGGTCCCTGACGGCTCCACGAGAGAGGCTCCTGGGCCTCGCAGCATCACGGATCCTAGCATTTCGTCGTGGTTGGTCCTCCTCCTCATCACGGCGATCCGCAAACGCGGCATACTCATCATCATCATCGACCTCAAACTTGGCAGCGGCGGGATTAGTCCTTGCAGTCTCACGGCTGCCTGCATCTCGGCGCGAATGGCTCTCCTCCTCATCCGCAAAATTGTAATCTTCGCCATCATAAGACTCAGATTTGGCAGTATTAGGGTTGGGCCTACCGGCATCAGACCCCTGCTTTGAGCTACTGCCCCAACCTGCGGTTGATCTCAACAGATCATCGTATCCGAAGTCCGTGAATTTCCGCTCCTCGTGCTCATCAAACTGACCTGGATTCTGAGAACCAGTGGATCGGCCCGGGATACCTCCCGGAACCAGAACCATAGTTCCTGGTCCCTGCGGCCTACTCTCAAACTCATCCGAGACCTGCGACTCACCTGGAACAAGAGATCTCGGAGGTCGAATCGGCATGGCCTCCGGGTCATCCGAATGAGGGCGGGCCATGTCCATCGCCATGCTGGTGAAGTCAAAATGTCCACGCCTGTGACCTGATTCAGAGCCACTCCTACCGGAGTAAACCCTTCGTGTCCGCTCGTCATCAGTGGCCTGGCGGAAAATACGATCGTCTCCATCGTCGGCGTACCTGCCACGGCCCCTGGGTGTATCCCTACCGGGATCTTCACCCCTGCGGTCCTGACCTGTCGAACCTGCTTCAAAATCCTCGTAGTCATAGTCCGGCAGGTCCTCACCTGAGCGGAGGCCACCTAGGATGGCCTCCTCATCCACGACGCTCCTGCGAGATCGTGGGGTCGACATAGAGCTTGTAGTTGAAAAGGTTCCCCAAAAGCAAACCAATCCCCGGTCCCAAAGATCAGGGTTTCCCACACACCAGAGAACAACAACCAAAGGAAAACAAACCAAACAAGAAAAGGGTTAACCCGCAACCTTGGTCGACAACAGGCCGCACGACTGGTCCCTACCAACCTGGCGGCGGCCCGAGGTCTCTTTCTCCCCCGAGATGCCGTCGGTCGACGCAGGGGTTCGGCGACGCCCATTCGAGGCGCGACGGAACCCAAAACTTGAGCCAAACACCACAGGTCAGTCACTACCGCGACATCCCTGGTGATGAAATAAACCATGGCTAATCACAGAGATACATGAAAGGCGGCTGAGCATTTTGTTGGCTTGGCCACGTCCGTGCTTCAGCCTATAGCCTCTTCTCGGGTGGGTTGTTTGAAATGCATGACACTATCCCCGCAATCTTTTGTTGACTCTGGCATTCTCTCGGTCTAGGATGAGCCATAACTCCATATGCCTCTTGCTTTCTAAGTGCGATCTGCGTGTCAAGTTCTCAATGCCTCTCAATGGACCCCCCCCAGAAAAAAAAAAAAAAAAAAAAACAAGACGATGGTTTTCCTGTTGGTTTCCACTTAAAACCACAAACAATGGGCACCCCCCAAGAAAGACAGACCCACATGTATTCTCCGTAACACTGCGCTCCCTCTCCAAGGACCCGCGCCTGGGGCGTGGCCAGGCGCAAGGCATTGCTTGAGGACAGCGAGAAGACCTGCAGGCACTCCTGGAACGGCGCCTGGATCCTTACAGCCTCGGATCCGCGAGCGCATCCGCGAGCGCATCCGGCAAAGCCCATCCGGTGAAAACATGAGAGCGACTTCCCAGCCAGTAGCCACCAACAGGTGGTTTGTGGTTTAAGCAGCCTGGAAGGCGCTATGTTTGCGGTTGGCTCTGCCTTCCTTAGATCCACCAAAGTGGGAGGTGGTGTAGATGATCAAGGTGTTGAATGGGCTCTTCAACCAATGAAAAACATGGTGCAACCACCGTGTTGACTAACTCAGCAACAGTTTCTTCCAACTTGCAAATTTTATGATGGGTGTATTGCCTGAAGTGCCCCGAGATTGCCCCTCTATGCATTTCTCCGACCCCATATGCAGCAGTGCCGAGCTAGGAACATGTACTTGAGTCAACTTGAGTCCTTGATATTCAGCAATCGATGCTCCGCAAACACATGTGCACACATGTCGCACTAGTCGATGCGCCCCTCAAATCCCAGAAGCGTGGATTGCATCATGAGCCTTACGCGGTCTCCTGGCCTCAAAAAGTCAAGATTGGCACAACAAGCCTCCTGGCGCGTCCAACCCGCAACAGCATCTCCGACTCCCAACGTCGGAGTTTTGCCGGCACGGGGCAGTTCTGAGAGGCCAGATGACACCAAGCCATTGCCACAAGGGCCGGTCCCTTTCCTCTGTTCAAAACCGCTTTCTCTCGCTCCGCGGCTTCCTTTTCTCTCTACTGGTTACTCTTTTTTCTATTTCTTGCTTTTTCCCCCTTTTTTCCAATCCGCCCCCTGGTTTCCACCTGGACGCCCCCCAGTGACAAAAGCCCCCCAGGCCCCAGACGCGTCCGCGCGCGCGCATGCGCCCGCCTCGGGCGTGCGGACCCCGGCGAGGCCGTTGAAGAAAGCCTCGAGGCCCTCCTCGCTCACCGTGGCGCGGCGCTCCACTCGGTGGCCCCATGCCACGAAGATCCCCGACTCCTGGGGCGGAAACGAGGCCCCAAACACTTGGGTGTCTTTGGGCTTTGGACGCCCCACAAAAGCCCGAAGGAGGCTGGAATGCAGTGATAAATCCAACTTTCGGTAGTCTTTGGGCTTTGGACGCCCCACGAATAAGCGCAAACGCAACAAACACATGGAATAGTGGAGTGCTTAAAATGGACACCCCACAAAAGCCCGAACAAAAAAGGAATGGAGTGATTCGGCAAAAAACGCCACTTGGTTGCTGGCGAGACCCCCCTGCAAAAAGCTTGTCACTTTTTGTGGGTCCAATGGAATACCCGTTTCCCAAAAAGTTAAAGTCCAAAGATCCAAGCGTATAATGTTGACTCCATATTAATCAACCCAAGTTCATTAATAGGGGGCGGCCCAGGGTTTAGTGGGGATCATCACTTTTGGAGGGGATCACCCGCTGTTAATAAACTGGGGTTGGTTTACATGGGGTCAGCCATAAAGAACAATGGTGTCTTTGGGGTTTGGACACCCCACAAAAGCCCGAACGAGAATGTGGCCATCTTACCTTCAGGAACCTAGGACTGCTTTGATCTCCAGGGAAGCTCGTGCACGTTTGAGCATGCAGGAAAGCAAAGAAAGCCCTAATGAAAACGGAAACGCAAGGTTCAGAAAGCCAACAAAAGGCTTAAATGAGGCAAACCCAAAGGAAACACAGAAACAGGGACGGCAAAGAAACCATGCAATCAACAAATTAGCACGAAGGAACGTTACAAGATAGATGACACCAAATACAGCCAGCTTCCCTTTTGCTAGACCTCCAATGAACAGGGGCTTCCATTGAGTTTGCCGTTGCACCAGCTTTTTCACCAAGCAAACCACCAGGACCCTGTTGACCTCCCTCTGATTCATCCATTATAGTGACCTCCTCTAAATTGCCTTGAAGCGAACACACACACACACCCAAGAAAGAGAGACCCCCTCAAAGCATGCTTTACCCGGATCCTCTACATCAGCTTGCAAAGGCCCAAATGGGTGTCTTTTGAATTGCACCCCCGATGTGGGGGGGACTTCAACATGAAATTGTTGCCATTGTCCTAACAGGCCCTTGTGCTACAGTGGGCAAGATCCAGGTACCCTCAAAAACCAACCACGGCCAAATCTCTGGATGGACACGACCCAAGTAGTTACCCTCAAAACCCCAACTTTGCGACTTTCAAGGCCCAGCGCGCCCCATCGAACTCCGAGCTCCTCCACCTCGTGCTTGCGCCGGCTGTGGCGGCGCAGCTCCACGCAGACCCCGTCCACCACCGCCACGGCCATGGCCACGGCCAGCTCCGTGACCTCGGAGTGCTCCGAAACGGCGCGGATCCAACGGCCGGGGCACCCCGGAAGGTTGGACCCATGGACCCAAGATACTGCTGAATATATGTTGTCGTGTTTGTCTAACCCAGCTATGACCCAGCTACTTGGAATATATGCTGGAGATCTGGTTTGAATATATATATATATATATACACATATATATATATATATATCAGGTGGCTCCAACTTTGGTCCCAGTGATCGTATGGACCTCCGGCAGGTGGGTTGTTTCCTTGTGGGCTGCATTTGAGACCATCCAAAAACGGAGCCAGTTTGGAGAAACCCGTGGTACTTGAGAAAGGGGTTCTTTGCTTTATTTAACACCATCCAAAACGGTGCGACACGTTGCCCAACTTGACTCGGGCCAACAAAGTAGCCCGGATGGCTGATACCAACAATGACGGGCGAAATCGGGACATGACACAGCTTTACTTCACCCAAAATCATGCAGAATCTCTGAGTTAAAGGACACACAGTTGGGCATTCCCTGTGAGGTACTCAGAGCTCCCTCCCACTCTTAGAAGCTGCCCTTGAAAAACTGGCAGGTCTCTATCTAAATGCTACCAAGCTCCATCAGGCGAATATCGTAGGGTGCTAATTTCAGACCACGGAAAATGAGAAAGCCAGTGTATCCGTGACAATTCAGTACAACCACGCCAAATGACCATCGCGCACAATTCAACCATGCGCCGACCATTTTTCGCTGCAGCTGGAACCTTTTCAACCTGCGGAGGTATTTTTTCTAGGGGCACCTTCCCCATTCTTTCCAAGGATCCTTCTTTCTAGAAAACCTCCGGACACCCAAAGTTTGAACGGAGCCGGCTTTTGGACAGCACGATGGTTAACCCCATGTTAACCCCTAGATCGTTGCACCCAGATTCCTTGCCGTTCCGATCCCTTCGTCCCAACCCAAAACCGCCCCAAACCGCCCAAAACCGCCCAACACCGTTGCACCAAAAGCGCCCGGTGGTCGCGGATCAGAACCACCGCGCAGCCCTTGGCCATCTTGCGCACGCGCGCCACGGGAGGCTCTCGCACCCGCAGGGGGCTCGGAACCTGGGGGGCCAGTGCGAGAGGTGGAATGACCACAAGACCGGGTGGGAAAATGAACCGTTCTAGGGGATTTCTGTAAAGGAAGCCACAAACAATCAATTTGTTTATAGGGGTCATTCCTTCATTCCCTGCTGCATCCGGGAAAACCCCCCAGCTGGCTGAATTGCAATCGTTGATGCAAAGTTGTTTCTGGACGGTGCGCTGGGCAAAGAAAGAAAAGGCTGGAAGAAGGCACACCTCTGCGCTTTTCATTTGGAGGGTGGGCTACCTTGTGAGGTCGGCTTCACCCTCCAACTCCCAAACCTGAGCCCCAGAGCCCCCTCTGGAACAGCCGTATTTGCATCTTGTCCGGGTGAGTTCTACAAGACAAGCCTGAAAATAAGAATAGATCAAGGAGCCGCATCTTCATTGATGCATTCCGAAGCCTGTGCGAGGTCGCAAACAAATCCCCAGGTCTTACCTGTGCAAAGCGTAATAGTTCACCAAACGCAAATAAGGAAGCCCTTAGTAACAAATCTTCATCATGGGTGAGCTCGTATAAACTGCAGGTGAGCTTGATATATACATACATACCAGTAGAGCCGGCGAAGCCGGTGGGCCGAAGTTTCCAAAATAAAATAAAAACTATAGTTCTCTTTCTCTTTCTTTTCTTGACTCCTTTTCTCCGTCATTCTTCCTTTCTTCCTTTCTTTCCTTCCTTCCTCCCTTCTTTCCTTTTTTCTATCTGTCTTTTCTTTCTTTCTTTTGTTTGCTTGTCTATCTATCTTTCTCTACCTATCTATGCCTAATTACCTATCTATCTATCTCTCGTGTTATCTATCTATCTATCTATCTATCTATCTATCTATCTATCTATCTTCTCTATCTATCTCTCTATCTCTCTATCTATATCTCTACCTATCTCTCCATCTCTCTATCTATCCATCTCTCTATATCCCTCTATCTCTGTCTCTCTCTTTCTCTATCTGTCTATCTATCTATCTATTTACCTCTCTATCTATTTATCTATCTATCGATCTATCTATCTATCTGTCTATCTATCCATCTATTTCTCTATCCATCTACCTATCTATCTATCTATATCTCTATCTCTCTATCTCTCTTTCTATCTATTTATCTGTCTATCTCTCTATCTATCTATCTATCTATCTTCTGCTTGTTTATCTATCTAACTATATATCTCTCCATCTATCTCTCTATCTCTCTTTATTTCTATCTTTCTATCTCTCTATCTCTCTTTCTTTCTATCTATTTATCTCTCTATCTCTTTCTCTATCTCTTTCTATCTATCTATCTATCTATCTATCTATCTATCCATCTATCTCTCCATCTATCTCCCGCGTATCTATCTATCTATCTATCTCTATATCTCGCTATGTATCCCTCTGTCGACCTATCTATCTATATCTCTCTCTATCTGTCTATATCTCTATCTATCTATCTCTCTATCTCATTATCTCACGTGTATTTATCCATCTTTCTATCTCTTTATCTATCTATTTAAATTTACAATTATCTATCTACCTCTCTATCTATTTATTTCTCTATCTATCTACCTATCTATCTATCTCTCTCTATCTCTGTTTCTATCTATTTATTTATCTCTCTATCTATCTATCTATCTATCTGTTTGTTTATCGTTTATCTATCTATTTATTTATCTCTCTATCTATCTATCTATATCTCTATCTATCTATCTATCTCTTTTTCTTTCTATTTATCTATCTCTCTATCTCTTTGTCTCGCTATCTCTCTCTGTCTATCTATCTCTCTCTCTATCTATCTATCTATCTATTTCTCTATCTCTTTATCTCTCTCTCTCTCTCTGTCTATTTATCTACCTATCTTGCTCTCTCTCTCTCTCTCTCTGTCTATCTATCTATCTATCTATGTATCTCTCTCTCTCTCTCTATCTATCTATCTATCTATCTCTTTCTCTATCTCTTTCTATCTATCTCTCTAGCTATCTCTCTATCTGTTTATTGATCTATCTATCTACCCATCTATATCTGCACATAAAAGTTGCGATTTTCCATCCCCGAAAGTTGACTTCGCGTACTACTTTCGTACTTAAAAGTTGCGATTTTCGAGCCCCAGCTGCGAAAGTGGACTTCACGTACTACTTTCGTACTTAAAAGTTGCGATTTTCAAGCCCCAGCTGCGAAAGTTGACTTCGCGTACTACTTTCGTACTTAAAAGTTGCGATTTTCGAGCCCCGGCTGCGAAAGTTGACCTTGCAAAAGTGCTGCGCCTGCCACCAAATCTGCGCTTGACCTTGCGAAAGTGCTGCGCCTGCCACGAAATCTGTACTTGACCTTGCGAAAGTGCTGCGCCTGCCACGAATTTGGCACTTGACCTTGCGAAAGCGCTGCGCCTGCCACGAAATCTGTACTTGGCTTTGCGAAAGTACTGCGCCTGCCACGAAATCTGCACCTGATATTTCGAAAGTGCTGCGCCTGCCACGCAATTCAAACCTTGAGTTGACCTTGCGAGCTTTCGCATCTCCGGAGACGCCGATTCGCGCACAGGGCCACGCTTTTTGCGACTTTCTCATCTGCGAAAATGCAGATTCACGCACAGGGCCACGCTTTTTTGCGACTTTCTCTTCCCCTGCCACACGCGCGCGCATTTTTTCTCGCGGACTTATGCCTTCTCTTGTCATTTGTCTCAGATAGCTAGCTTTCAATTAGTTGCCGTAACACGGAAGTTCCTTCTAAACTTCCTTTGATAATATGCAAAACTTACTACAATGCCAAAAGCTGAATTAAGAATTGGATCCCCAAGTGTTACAGACTTTTCTCATGGGCTTTCGCTCGTTGAACCCCCGAATCGGTGAGCCCCTACCACGCCTGGAACAGCGCCGCCTCCTCAGGCCTCACAGTCTCCTGGCGCTGGTTCCGTGCAAAAAACACAAGAGCATACGTAAAGCAATCAGTGAACGCCCTACAAGTTGCAAGTTGGGAACCAACAAACATCCAATGACTGCAGATGTTTGCCAGGTGTTCTTTGCTGGATGTGGGACATTTCTGGCCCTGACTGCAATTTTCGCAGGTGTTTGTGCTGGGGATTCCCATGGAACTGCAAAAGCAGCCGGGAAGATCCCTGAATTCCTGGCTCTTCAGATTCCTGACGCAAATCTAAGCTAAGGGCCTTCTTGGGTTCTGGCGTAGCTGGCGGGGTGGTGCGAGCACGGGCAGGAGAGGGCACCCAAAGTAGAGGCGAGCACGGTGCGAGCTTCTCGGTGGGCTTTCGCGGCGTGGTGGGTGCACTCTGCTCGATGTCCGCCATGGCCGCAACCCTCAACTTGCAGAACGAGAGCGCCAACAAGAATTAATTCAGCCAAACTGCTGCGATGCAAACTTCGGATGCATCGAATATACGGGCATGGGAATTCAGCTTCCCTCTACTTGGTGGTTTGGAGCGCAATCGGTGATTTGGTGGTTAGGGAGTGGTTTCCCATCTACCCTCTACAAGGAGCAGTGAGTCAAATCCCTAAACAAGCAATCCAAACCACCAATTAAGGGCAACCAGGAATGGCGTGCCAGGCCACTTGCAAAAACATGGTGCTGTTTTGGTGATATGTCAGCAAGCTTGGCAGCTGCAACCTGCCTTCATCGAACCACCGCTGCCTGTCCTGAGGTCTGCACTCAGGCGCGAGAGCATGACACGTTTCACCCATGTGGCAAGGGACGAGCCGCCACTTCGAACGTATTGCGGCGGCGTGCCACAACAAAGCGCATTACTTATTGCAAACTGACCTCTGAGTTTCAGAAATGCACAACCATTCACGCGTATCTCGGATTTATCTAAAGGACCGACCGCCCTGGTCAAAAAGAATCCCCCAAAAAGACATGATCCCACCCTCAGCGGGGAATACTCTGAGTCGAATAGCTTTCCAGGCGTCCCCGGCTGTTTCCCCAATGGATATTCAAAAAGGGACACTCCAAATGGCTGGCGCCCTGCTGCCTTCAAAACAGCACCAACACACAAAAGCAAAAATAGCAAAACCGCACACAGTGCCCAGTTTATTCACGTTTGGCCGGCCTCTGGCGTGGTGTCTTTCGCTTTCTTCTGTGTCGCGCGCTCCAGGAAGCAAATGGCAACCTGAGCTTCTGGCACACAAAAACGCAACCAAATTCGCCGCTAAAGTGGGCGTGCCAGGAGTAGTACAACGGGCTAACTTGGCCAAACGAGAAGAATGAGTTTGTGGGGGCTTCAAAACTAAACTTAGTCATGATGGGCGTAAACGAGTAGTACTTCAAGGTGTAATTATGCGGCTCTCTGTTGCAATGCATTCATCCACTCAGACTTGCCCCTTGAGGCTGGCCAACCAGTGCGCTTCTCCAGCTCCTCATCTGGCTGGATGAACTGTGCCCAACTATAAGCGGTTTTCGATAAACGAGCGCCTGAAGGGGCTGAGGTCGCCACCACTATACCAATAAAGAGCGCACCTGAATCGTCAAATCTGCTGACGAGGAAGCCTACTTGAAACCAGAAAGGGTTTGCCTCCGCTACTCCAATACTTTTCACTGTGGCACTTGACTCTTCCGCGCCACGTCCCGAAATTAACGCCAATGGTGCGCTTGTGCGCTTTTTCCGGGTTCAAGCGCTCGTCCTGTCGCCGGCTTCCACTGCCCCTCAACCACACGATGCAAACCCTATACAAGGCTTCATTTTCTGTGAGGGCAGTGGTGATGCAAAACCTCCACAGATCGGATCCAGCGCACTTAGGCGGAGATAAGGAGCCGGCAGCTGAGGCCCAGCAAGCATCCCACCTTGCACCTCCGGGAAGTTCCTGCGGAAACGGATCGATCCGGCTTGGTGTTCGTAGAGACATCTTACAGGGCCCCCACGTGAATGACCCCAATGGCCCCAATGGCCCAACAGCCTTGATGTTAACACCCTGCCCCCCAAGAGCTAAGGGGAACAAACAAGGGATACTGCCACCCTTTAGATCAGCACTGCCAACTCCATGTTTCTTCCCATGACCCAACAAATAAGCTCATCGGTCCCTGTGAGGCTCCTGGGGAACTATCTCACGGAAGGCACAAACAAGGGGTTCAATGACTGTGAACAAAGCTTCTAAGGATTCTTTGGTGGGGGGGAGGCTGTGGTTGCCCCCAACAAGTCAAGGCAAGTCAAAACATCTGCTTAAATTTTCACTATACCTCCAAAAGCTGAACTAAGAATTGGATCCCCAAGTTTTACGGACCTTTCTCATGGCTTCAGCTCGGCAGATTTTATCTGCATACCTTCCCATCCGCCTGGCAAAGAGTCCAAGTCGTCCTGGCTCGGCGCTAACGGCGGGGGAGTCTTGGTTGGCGCTGGGCGCAATTTTCCGCCGAACCAAATCAAGCGCCCTCGGGCGTAGGCTTGGGCACCCAAAACCCAGCTTCCCCAAAAGGCTCCTTCAACTCTGGTAACGTGCCGTCTTAAGGAAGTGTGTTTCATCAAGGGATCCAAGTCAAAGGTATGGCCGAAGCCCTTCCACGGGGGGCAAGGCCTGTGGTTGACGTCGCTTAGCCGAGAACTAATGGACCAAGTCTGTTGCCTGCCCTGTTGGAACCACGGATGGCACTGCATGGCTTGGAACCAATCTGACACCTGCGCCAAACTAAATAGGACACTCGTTCGAAGCCACGCGCGGCCCCAGAATGCATCGAGACCTGCCCCCGCAAACTCTCAAACCCGTTTGCGCCTTCAGGTGCTGAGGCAAGTCCATCTCTGGACAACACCTCAGCTTCTTCGCTCTGGCGTTTGCCTCCCAAAAGGCGCAAGAACTCCTCAAAGACCAGTCTGGACGACCTTCTGTCAGAAAACCATGTTTACTTCTGGGAAAGCAGTGACTGGTGCCAAAAAGGGTGAGGCATTCAAATTGCATTGCGAGGGTTCATGGACCTGGAAGTTTGTCGGGCTGTTGAGAAGAGACGTCGTCAATATCGTGGCTCAAAGGTTTCTGCACAAGGAATGCAACTCTCATTGTTCTGCTTTTGCGCGAGGCGTCACAAAAAACACCGTGCCTCCAGATTTTGCGTTCAAGCCTTCCAGCCAAGTACTCACAGCCACCGCCATGCTGGCTGAAGCCGCTGCATATCTCAAAAACACCGCCAACGCAGCCCGGAAAGTATGAGCCGTTTTTTTGTTCACAGAACCTGTTCTGCACACAACTTGCTGTTGTGGGAGGCAACATTCGAAAATTCCCCAGAAACCGCGCACATGTGAGGGGACCGTTTGGGCTCATATCCCAGGGCCCCTCAACCCCTCCCCGCTCAGGCATCTTGGCTCCTGATTCTGACCTGCTTTCAAGCTACTCTGATTGCTCGTTCACCCTCAGACTGGAAGCATCAGGCTGCCTGTCTCCGGCCATCCCGTCACTGGGCTGCAGGCACGGTCTCCTGGCCGGCTTTGTTCAGTGCGAGTTCGTCGCACTCACTGCCCCTTGCAACCGGCAACTCCTGCAGCAATCCCCTATTTTCCGAAGCCGCACCTCCGGAAGCGGTGTGATAAAAAGACATGCAGAAGGAGTGACACTGACACAAGCCAATGGTTGGACACCTGAGCTGGCCAGCGTCTGGCACACGCAGGCTTGACATGGTGTGACACGCAAGGTGCTGACATCCACGCTACGTCATTGGCACATACTGATCCAACACCCTAAACCCTACAGTCCGTTGTGTCAAAAGTAGAGATTTGGTGCCTGAAAATTGGTTTGCTTTTGGATTCCCTTTGAACCAAGGAATCTCAAAGGTTCTGAACCTCAGAACCGCTTTTCAAAAGGCTTGCGGCAAAGCACTTTTGAGCCGGTTCAAGTTCATGCACAAGGGAGGAAACCCCAACCATCCCAAATCCAAGGCCCCCTGGAAAGGAACCCAACCACCCCCAAATCTAAGGTCCGCAGCCTTCAAGTTCTTGGGATGGTCTGAGGTCATGGGGGCTGGGGGGGAGGGAGGGGGAGGGAGCCCCAAATAAAGCCTTAAAATAAAGGTTTGGGGCTTTATGAGGGCTTATTTGGGCTCCCTCCCCCCCCATGATGAGGGCCTTGTTTGGCCGCGGGGTAGGAAGCATACGCCTTACCCCCCCTTGGCCCCTTGCAGCTCTCCGGCCTCATCCTCGTCATTGAGAAGCTGCCGGTCCTGTGCATCGACTCCGGAAATCAAAAGGTGCTTAAGAATGGAACATCTCTGGAGGCTCCGTATTAAACAGCCTTGGTGTGGCAACAAAGGTATTGTTTTTGTTGCCGCCCCCTGCTAAAAATGAACAGAACCAACAAAAAGCAACACAAAACTCCCCAACCCCCCCCCCCCCAAAAAAAAAGAAGAAAGAAAAAAAAAAAGAAGTCCACAAGAGCGAAGGGTTTCGCGTTCTGTGCTTTGCCAGGTGGACTGAATGAACTAACCCCCACGGCTCACTGGGCCTCTAGCAGGCCACTGAGGCGCGGGCCACAGGCCTGGCCTCCCGGGCTGGGCTGCCGCCCAGCCTAAGGCATGGAGCTTTGGGCCACATCCCAACCCCTTGGCCCACCTGGGCCAAATGCGGCAAGTAGAGCATCCATGTGGCTGGTCAAAAATAGGTACCCAGAATGGAACCCTGGTAAATGGAAACATGGACTAAAACCTGCGGTCCCTGGGTGGTTTAGTTTTGACCCACATCCATGTGCCCGTTCGTCCCCTGGAAAACATATGGGAAAAAATAGATGTCCAGTCGTGAAATCGATCCCCTTTCATTTAAAAACCATCCGGTGAACACGGAAAAAAGTCTTAAGCGAATGCTGGCAGCCCCGGATGGGACCTGGAAGGAAAGCCGATCACCTTTTTGGGACCTCTAAACATGGTTGCCACAAAGGGGGGAAAAACCAAAAGGTCCGATATGGTCGATTCGCTTTGAACAACTGACTGGCCAGAACTTGTCCTAAACTTTTGGCACTGAAGTTGTAACAAGTGGCACTTGTTTAGAAGTGAGTTGTCCCAAGCTGACCTGCACCTTCGTTTCTTAATGTTTCTTACAGCAGCGATTGGGAAACCTGAATTCCATGATCTGCCGCGGCCTGCTCGAGCTGCCAATTCGTGGGATTGCAAAGGTGGTTCTGCTCAACAGAAGCCATGCTACTCTGAACAAACGTTGTTTCAAGACGTCATTCTCCATGGCGCCCCGGCACGTCCTTCAGACAGTAGTACATGTCTCAACCGATCTGCACTAGGCTACCTGTCCCCCCCGCCAACAAACGTAAACATGCCATAGTTCAGCACTGGCAAGCTCGAAGCACCCTGCCCGAAGCATCGAAGCACGCGCAATGGTCGCACTTTGTCGCACGGCTCGGCCACGGCGCGTGGGTGCAGGGTTTGCAGGATGCCAAAGTCCACTAATAGCCCTTTTAAACGCCAGTGCCACGCACGGACACACACACACAAGCCCACCTAAGCCAATTGTGGAAACCAGAGTTCTTCCTGCGGGCTGCTGAGGTTTCAGATGCTCCAATAACCGAAGCACATCGAAGGCTACGCCTCAAACCCCACACCGCACACTTGGGCCACATGCACTGAACTCTAAACTTGAATGCTCTGAGCTCTGCTTCAGCGAGCCACTAATCTAGAAAACGGCGCGGATGCGCGTTCTGTGGATTTCACCTGATCTTCCCTCAGTAGGTTCGTTCTTAGGACTCTTCTTGTCGTACTCTTTCAATATCCTACAGGGGTGTATCCACAAAAAAACGCATCCAAACCGTTTCCTGGACATAGGGAGCACTTGTGCATTAACGCCCGCCGGGCGGACAGAAAATCAGGGAGGACGGCACCTGACACGCTGCAATTTGTCCAGCGAATCAACGCCTGCGACCAAAGGAAACATCGCAGCCTTCCGAAAGGATCTGGCAGACTCACACAGCTTATAATGAAAACCATTTCATATAGCAAGCCATGTGCGGGCGTGAAATGCGTGCCTCCCCAGTCTCAAGACAGGAACTTGTAGTAACCTTCCAGCCATTGCAAGTTCCACTCACGCGCGATTGGCACGGAGATCACTTCCAAACCGCCGGTTGTGTACTCCACCTCATTGATGATAGGAGCCCCCTCCCTTACGAAGAGAGATATCCTCACCTAGGCCACGGGTTGGACATGCGAGTCCTCGTTTCAAACTTGGGGGACCATAAACAGCACGCCTTGCCCGGGAACGCCCCGAGCTGCAAAAACAAGCTGCTGCCATTCCTCATCCCAGCCACGTATAAGCTACCGTGGTTGGTTGCTACAAGGTTGAAGGTGGTCCCACCTCGTTCTCCATCCCACCCCTTTTAAAGGTTTCCAACGCCGCATGTGTTTGTCATCTCAACCACCTGTACACCTGATTCAGTATGTTATTACCCAAAATGTGCTTCCGGCCGAAACAAAGGCAGTCGCCACAGCAGACATGAAGCAAGCTTGGCTTCTTGCAACTTTGGGGTCTAAATTGAATTCGATGGCCCTGTGCCAGTCGCAACGGCAACGAAAATATATACCCTATGCTTCCAAAGCCTATTTTAAAAAAGACGTTGTGACAACCCCGGCCTATTGACAAAGACTATTTCTTGACGACGAGCGGCAGCCTCCCTTTTGGACTGGAACAAGGGCTAGGAAAGACTTGATGCTAAGGCCGACCCATGGGATCCCAAAGCCGAATATGCATATACGTATGCAGCAATATGTTTCACAACTTTCAAGGCTAATGTTGGCTTCTATGTTGCTCGGTTTCTTAACATGGCCATGTAGCTCGTGATGGTGAAGCCTTTTCTGATGTCCTTCTTCTGGCCCACCCCCTCAACCAAACCCAAAAAGCGGGACAGCCAACATCTCTACCCACCACAGCAACCATTCCAGGATGAGGCTGTTGATCTTCTGGGTCCCCTGCAAAAGTTGCCTGTTCTACGCAAAAAAATAGAGGTTCCACGCCAAAAAATAGTGGTTCTACGCCAACAAATAGTGGTTCTAAGCCCGAAAATGGTGGTTCTACGTTTTTCTACGGTTTGTCTACGCTCACGCCGTTTTTGGACCTGTGTCAAAATTACGGGAAAAAAAACAGCTCACAATTGCTTGTTGTTCGTGCCACCTGCGCAAATCGCAGAGGAAAATTCTATAATTTGCTGGAATGGAGGCTCTGTCTATGCAAGACTTTCAGCAGGTGCATTGCGCCAACAGAAAAGGGCCTCGAGGACCCTATCAACAAATACAGATTTACTTAGCTAGCAGAGACATATGTGGTTCCCAAGGCTACTTGAGAGGTTGCAATAGCAGGCGTAATTTTTGATACGCCTGAGGTTCCCTTCTGGGCTGTTCAGTGGAACTGGGTTTCCCCAATGCAGTCGTAGCCACATAGTCGGTATGCGGCAGCAGGCCTTCCAGCATCCAAACGGTGGAGGCCCAGTCTCTGAAGGGCCGAGGGAACTTACAGCTCAGGCAGGCCCCGTCACGGAAGATGAGGCCCAGATGCCTAGCGATGCGACACGCGGGACAACGGGCCATTGGGGTGACCGCCCTTGCGAGGAGTGTGCGGCGATCCTTGCGAAGGCTCCAGTCATTGACACCATGCATGCACTGCAGCACCAAATGAGCATGCACAAATTCTCTATCTGCCACATTGCAGGGGGCCTCCTAGCACTCCTTTTGCAAATGTTCTGAGTTCTGCGTGAGGCCTAAGTCTACGCAACTGGATGGAAAGCCCCTGGCCACTCTTCTAAATCCATCTGCAAGCAGCTGCTTCCATCAGCAAACGCCATGGCTGTTCCTTTGATTGGCTGGTCTTGACGGCATGCCCTGTCTGCCTGGCAAGTGGCGACCCGTTCTTCACGCTGACCCTAGAAAAAAGAAGAACTAGGGCGACAGTTTACCGGTTGGACTTGGAGGATGTTGAGTTGTTCTTTGCCTGCCTCAAGCGCCCATGGCGGAACAACGGGACACCTTTTGCCATGGTTTCCCTTGGCCATTTCTCGGCTTTGACAGCTACCTGGGCAAGGGCGCCATCCTGTTCATTCCCTCCCGTCCACGAAAGGGCCCCTCAAGTTCCGAGCTGGTCAGTGGTGGGCCTTCAACCTGCGGCAATTGGAAGGGCAGGCTGGCAATTCTGGCACGCTCACGTGCGACGTCGGACAAGCAGCAAACAGCATGGAAATGTCATGACCAGCTCAGCAGCAACGGTTTCGGCGGCAACTTGTGGCTTTCCAACTCTTAACAACTTCGGGTTTCCTTTGAAGAATGCCGCAGCCGGCTGTGCAGTATGCCGTGCTTGCCATTTTCCGCGTTTCCCTCCTGCCAAAAAAAAAAAACAGCAGGGGCCTTTTTTTTATGGGAGAATGGTCCCAGAAGGTCGGTACTGTGGATGGACAAAGTCCTGCACCACTTCGACACGATGGGAAACCACTGTTTGCCGGTATTTCAATCAAATCATTCCAGGGTTTCTTAGGTGCAGGATTCCCTCCATCCACAGCATGTAAAGAAACACGGCCCTCCGGGCCCCGAAACTCGCAATCCCGCCGCCGCGCGCTCGAAATTCAGCCGAGTGGCTCGGTCTTGGCCTCCCCGGAGGCGAGCCGCACCTGCCGGTCGCCGGTTCCTTGAGACATGTCTCTTGGGGTTCCGTTTTCACCAAAAGGAAACTTATTGTTGCGCATCACCTGTCTTTTCTGGGGTCTGCAGGTTTTTTGTTTTTAGTTCATTTGCACAGTAAGCAAGGACTTTTTTCAATAAATGGTGTGTCTGTTCTTAGGGGGAACCATGTTTTGATGCTTTGAAAAAGGAAAACCGCCATGGTTGGGGTGGCTCCCCAACGGCACACCCATATTCACCATGGAAGAATTGGACAGCTCGGATTTTCAAAGTGACCTTCCGCGAGGCTAAAGCAAGCTATAAGAACGGAAGAACTATCTTGCCTTTGCTGGGTGAACAGCCAGCTCGGGTGCATCTCTCTCTCTCTCTCCCCCTCAGCTTGCCTGCAGGCCAACACCTTGAGGGCCTGAGGGCGTTTGTTTCAGCATGGCCGCGCCTTGGTCTCCCAGCTGCAGAAGAACAGCGTGGACCACACCAAATGGCACGCCAGGCTGTCAGGGGCGATCCAATCTTCTGCCCCGGTCCTGAGGAGAACACTCTTGGGTTAACTGGCCAGCCAAAGGTTCATGTCATGCAAGCCACTCCATCCAACCTTAAACGTGGCCTGCTTTATGCCAAAAGACGCCAAACCAATGAACTCAAGATTCAAGAATCCCCGCTGAGAAACCAAACACCATAGTGGTCGCAAATGTTTTTGTTTCATGTGCCTGGCACATGAAACTTACTGCATCTGATTCGTCACTCACGCCTACTTGCGCATTTTGCAGTGCACGCTAAAGCCACCAACGGACCAGCCCGAACAACCCTGAAGGCTATACAACCAACCTGACGCCGGCGGGGTCCACTCTGTTGACGCTTGGCAAGCTTCATCTGCAGCAGGCTGTGCAAGGGAACCGAGGGGCGGATCAGCTCCTGCAGGCGATCTGAGAGGCGCATCGTGGTATCCTGTTGTTTGGGTTCTCAAGCGAAGCCAAAAGGACGCCACCCAGCCCAGAAAAACCCAGCTACATGACATACTGTGGATGATTCAAATGTTCTGCACCACCAAAAGAAACCCATGATGTTTCCCCTGCAAATAGCAACCGTTATGGTTTCATTCCCATGGTTTCATTTCGTGGTGCGGTCTCGGATTTCGCAACCATCCACGGTAGTAATGACATACTTCGGCTCACCTCTAATCTGTGGTTTGGATGGATGTTTCGTGGTTAAGAAGGGGTTTTCCACTGACCCTCTACAGGGGTTCAAATCCAAATCCGAACCAAAGGGCTACTTGGCTGCAACCAACTGGGCGTGGCAGGCTCCTCCACCAGAATCCCAGGCTTCGAGCCAGCCTGCAAAGGGACAAGGTAACTGCCTGAGCCTCTGCCTGCATCAGCCCATCCAACCAGGCATCTATGACCACCACTAAACTAGGTCTAGAAGGGTTTCAGGGTGTGGGGGAATCTAGGTCTAGATATGCTTGGATTTCACTTGGTACTGCGGACGGTGAAACCCTGTAGAGGGATAAACCACCTTCCAACTAGTGCAGGATTTTGGCTATCCACAGTATGACCTCCACTAAACTAGGTTTCCGCTAATCTTAGCTGAGAGTAAAGCTCCAGCCGTGCCCGGCATCCATGACCTTACCAAACCCCTAGAGGACAGCTAGTTCATTCTAGAATGGCTCTCCTGAAGATCACCTGCAATCCGAGCCAAAAATTCAAGAAAACACCGCGCCCAATCCCGCAAAACAGCCTTCGTTTTCAAGCAAAACACCGCACTGAATCCCCACAAAACGGTCCCGAGTCCCCACAGAACTTTACCAGAAGCCCCCCCCCCCCCCCCGCCTGCACGGTTCCCCAATCTCCACAGCGTGGGTCCACCATCTGCTCCGTGAAAACTTCCTGGAAGGCGCGCCGCAGGGACCAGTGCACTTCCTCCACCGCCACGCGGCGGCCTGTGAGGCCTCAGCATCCACGCCACGCCCCAAAAACGCTGCTACACCCTGTCAAAGCTCAACAGGAAGAAGCTAAGCCTGGTCAAATGGCAAAGAATGGCAACCAGGCTTCCTCGAGTTGGCAGGCCTCTTGAAGTGTTCAGGAATACCTGGTAGTTTTAGACTGGCACTTATTTGAGAGCAGTCAGCAGGTATTGACGCGAAAGAACCACAAAAAGAAGCCACTGAAACGCACCCCAACGGCTAAAACGTGGGCTTTTCGTCGCATGCCCAGCCGAAGCCACGCCCGCGCCACAGCGACTTCGGGACCGGGTCCGGAGTCCGAGCGGCGGTCCACGCCGCCATCCATGGCGAAAACCCCCAGGGAGCAGCAAAGGTGCGCGGCCTTGGCCACGTAGGCCACCCCGTCCCTCTCCAAACGCTGCAAGAGAGGTCGCAGCCTGGGAGAGGAGTTGGGCTAATTGCCTGGGAGAGTTGGGCCAACCCTCCTTCGGTTACACAGGCTGATGATCTCGCCCCAAAGCAACAAGCCCCATGGTCCAACGCCCCTTGGTCCAACCCCCTCCAAACCAAAAAGCCCATGATGAAAGTACAGGGCTGCGGTTCCTCGAGCCCGAACCAATTCGCAGGATGGGTTGCCCACCATGGCCACATGCACTTCGGGCGACCCAAGCGTAGCTGACACAATGGGCAGGCCATTGGGAAGGCCGGGACATATGTTCAGCCCCATCTCCATGCACACATCACTCCAAGACACACCCAAGTGGGTTAATCCAAGGACAGTCCTAAAGGGGTCGCTCAAAACCAGGATGAATTGAGAGAGGGGCCGTCGTCAAATCTGATTGGGAACAGTCCAAAAATGTGTTGGCTCAAGTCGGAAGAGAGCCCAAGAGCATCAGTCGCCTCGACTCGAACCTCGAACCTGCCCCTCCTGCCGACCCAACCCCAGGACGGGCAGATTGACAAAATAGCTGCTCTTGACAAAAAAAAAAAAGCCTTCATGAAAATCCAACTTTTGGCTTGAACCATGGCGTAATGGTTCTTCTCTTGACAGCCCCCCTCTTCTGTCCAAGGGACCCGCCGACACAACCTTATTCTCCTATCTAAACCAGACTTAAACCAACCCAACCACAACCTTAAACCCTAAACCTTACGCCCAATTTTCTGCGTCCACCTGGCGCTCGCCTCAGGTTTCTGCGTCCACCTGGCGCTCGCCTCAGGCCCCCGGTGCCCGCCCGCTTGGGGCGGCGCCTCCCCGCTTAGACCCCATCCCAGGGCTCATCTCACGCCCGGGCGCTCGAAGTCGGCGTCATAGGAGCTGAAGAAGGTCCGGGGCACCGGCAGCCCCCGTCCGCGGAAGTCCTGCCGCAGAAAACGAAGCCGCAGGCTGCGGGTTCTTCTTGGCTTCTTGGCTGCTGTTTGCTGCCACCCCCCACTTCTTCCGGCCAGCACAAAACCGGCCAAATGACTTCAGCTTTATCCAAGTCACCAGAAGTGGTGGGTGAAAGGGAAACCTGCCGATTCCGCCGGTTGCAGGGGTTTTCTTCCGGCCCCATTCTTCCACCAGTATCACAGTCGGATTCCCGACTTACTCGCCCCAGTTCTTGGCCATTCTCGGCTGTTTTCCGGCCAAAAAACCGGCCAAGTGACGCTGGTTGCTCCATTCTTGGCTTTTTTCCGGCCGACCAACAAAATCCGGCCCCATGATGTGACCTTTGTCAAAGTTACCCTCCAAATGTGGTAGGTCAAAGGGAAACACCTAAGCCTCCCCAAAACACCGTCAACATAATGACACCAGAAAAAACGGGTGGAGTTGTAACCAGCAAGGGCAAATCCCCCCAGGGGCCCCCACAATCCCTTGAAAAACACTTGGTGCAACCACCCGAACCTGACCGGAAAAATGCCTAGGTGTAGAGACTGCCAGGGGTGAAAACAAATCTAAAGGTACTTGTGTACAATCACAACTAGGGACTATCTGCATCCAGTTTCCCACGCGTGCGCTGAGCAAAACCCAGGTGCTAGTGGCATGAACCCCCAAATAGATTTGACCCCGAGGCCCAAAAGCTCTCGCGATATTGGACACCAGTACAGCAAATTCTTCTTTCTCAGCTTCTTGAACACCACTCGCCTTCAGTAGGACGGTAGGACGCCAAGTCGGGTCCTCGGTGAGCTGTATCTTGTCTTGGTAGAGCTCCAGGCCTTTTGCTTTGTGCATCTGCCGGAAGCCCATGATGACCTGACAGGCGTCAGCCGCCCGTGTCGCATCCGCGGAGGAGAAAAACAAACATCAGGCAGCCCCAAGCTGAAGGCATGATCCATCTTGAAGACATGGTAAAATATTGTGCCATTCATTCTATCTCAACATGGGCCTGCCTTAGAGGGTCGCGAACCTCATTTGCGGCGTTGACGCTTTGGGGAAGCTATGAAGCGCACCACGAACTTGCCAGCGAGGCCGCCGTTGTTGCCCCAGTGGTCGCAGCCATGTTGCGGCAACACGATGCCAGCCCGAAATTACCCCTCTGTTTCCCCCTTGAACTTCTTTCAACACCACCCCGGAAGAAACCTCATTCAAATACTTGGCCCAAGACGTGATGTTGAGAACCACCGAAAAAGGAAATAGCTGGAGAGATGCGAGAAGAACGGAAACTCCTGCCTCGAGTGGGCTCTCCATGCCGATCTGAGCAAAGCCAGACCTGCAGCCCCTTTGAATATGAGTCTATATGTGCACTCTTTGCTCCATCGATGTGTCTTTTTTACCATTTGCGGTACATTTGCGCGCGGTGCTTGCATCCATTTTCTGGCCATCGGACTGGATGTTTCTTGTTTGATTGTCCGGAGTCCGAAGCCTTCCCTTGGGACAGAGAAAGGTCTCGCGTGGCGTTGGAGCGCTGTCCCTTCACCTGGCCTGGACGAAATGAATCGACACAACACACACAAGGGCCGTCGCTGGGATCCACCAACTCCAAGCAACAAGTCAAACCAGGCATCACTGACGCAAGGTGGCAAAAGGTGGCCGGCATACCCATCTTGGCCCCCGGGCATGTCATGCATGGGCAGCAGTTCCCGCACCACCCGCAGCGGTGGCATGGATGCCCATGGCGCAACGGAGGCTCCCACCTGGCCTGTGCCCAAAAAAGGCGGCACCACTCGCTGGGGGTTGGGGAATGAAGGGGCTCATTCCAACTCATCGAAGCACACAAGAGGGGGCAACTCTTTGGTTGTGGGCCATTGGCCAAGTCAAAACCACCGAAGCCCAGGCTGTCGGGTGGCCCTAACGGTGCAAACAAGACTAGTTGGGTCCTCCAGTAGAGAGGTTAGAATAAGGGTACCAACTTTTTTCCGGAATCTGTTTTAGTAGGGTGAGCCCTCCCCCAAAAACGGGTGAAAGGGCACTGGGACCGTCCGATTCTTTCCAGGCGGCGTGCCAGGCTCTCGCGGCAGCTGCCGTGGTAGATGCCACCGCGGTTGCCGCTGTGGGCGCTGTGCAATGGGTCCTCCTCGGAGGCCCACCGCCGCGCCAGCACAGCGCCTAGGGAGATTTGGAGCCAAAGTGGTGAGCACCAGAGGTGGTCAACCACCATTTCGGAGGGCCTTCGTCGTTTGGGTGTGGCTCAAAATTGAACAGCTGGGGTTACCCATTTTGGACCCCCCCATTGTTGAGCCACACCCATTTGAGGGTTGATCAAAAGGCTTGGTTTTGATGGGATATAGATGGAATGACCATAAAAGGACGCCACTGAAAAAAATCTCAACCACTAGTTAGATGGACAAAGTGACCCATGGTTATTTGGGGGTCGAAGGGAATATTGATAAACCCCGTGTGCAATATTGACCCCATGATAATCAACCTCAGTTTCTTAACAGGGGGGGTGTTCAACTGGGTTTAGTGGGGAATCAGATCACTTTTTGGAGGGGAGCACCCCCCAGTACTGTAAGCTTGGGCTGATGAATACGGGGTTTCACTGAATGGACAAGGTTGCCCCTGCTCGCTTATGGGCGCCGAAGGGAATATTGACCAACCCCCGCCCCCCCCGGCCCCCCGGCCCTGCCTCGCGCAGGCCGCGGGACCCAGCCGGAGCCCAAAGGCGCCCGGTGCACCGGGAAGAGCTCTGCGGCCGGGATCCTGCAACAAAACGCGCCTGGGGAGCTTCCGCACACGCGGCTTGGAGGGGCGAGGTGACAGGGGAAAGGGGGGGGGAGGAAATGGGGGAGGGGGAACAAAAACGTGGTGACACGCTGAGATGGTCTTGACTGCCCTCAAAGTCCGGTGACCCGAACAAACATCGAGGGCGACTCGCGGCAAGTAAGTCTTCTGAATAGCATGTCTGCATTCCAAGAGGCTTTGAGTGCAAGTAACAAGCTTTCATAAGTCTGGCGAAGAAGAGGATTGCGGCGCGCGCTCGGTGCGCGGGTGCGTAAAAACGGGGTGGGGGAAGGGGGTGGGGAGGGGGGGGGCATGTTCAACTACCTAAAGCTTGTCCCCAGATAAACAAAGTGGGGAGGGCAGGATGCAGCGGGTTTGTGGTCCCGAGACCAGATTCGGCCCCAGCCTGCAAGGCACCCAGAATGCCAAGGGCAGCACCGTCATGCTGGGTCCTCCAAAGCGCGGGGTCGGAAGGGAGCGACCTAGTACCAGGGAATTGTTTCCTAAGTCAAGTTGGCCGATAGAGAAACAAAAAGAAAAAACATGAGGCATTGGACAACTGGGGAACTATAAGTACTCAGTGTTTTTACAAGTCAAGTTGACCAATGGTTAAAAGGCAAAACAAAAATACAACGCATCAGGCACTGGACAACTGAGGCGGTCAAAACACAATGTGCGAGGAGAACCACAATACCACCACGCAAACATGCCCCTCGGAAAGCAAATGACACGAAGGCATCGGACGATCCCGCGGCTCGTGTGCACTCCTGTCGGAGCCAAAGATCCAACAGCTTCGGTGATGTAAAAGTAGATGCTCACCTCGATAGATTTGGTTTAATCTCAGGGAGACCTTCTCATTTCCGCGCCTTTCGCCTTTCGCAACGCGCGGGTTGAAAGATGTGGGAAGAAACTTGGCAAATGCAGGGGACACATGCTCAAACAACAAAAGCGCCTCCTGCATGCAGAACATTGAAACACACAGCGCACATGCACACTGAGCCGTTCAGTTGTTCGGACGCGATTTTAGACATCGGAGGTGGTTTGAGATGTGACTGGCCTCAGAAATGGCTCGGCAACAGTCACTGGGTATTCTCACAAAGCCGCACGCCCAGAAACTTTTCGCGGGTTTAGTGGAAAACCCCTTGATTTCTTAAAAAGTTAAAGTCTAAAGATCCAACCCAATAGCAGTCAAACCCTGTGCGGCTGCATGGGCCAAGCTGATTAGAGCAATCCAACGAAGTTTACGGAGCTTGCCTGGCGCACGGAACATGCCCGGCAAGTCCACATGGAAGGGGGCCGGCTAGGTACCGGCATAACTCAGGCAATGCAAGTACCACGGGTTGCCAGGGAAACAACAACTGGAAATCACGCATGCTTCAGCTTCCCCATAGTTGGTGGTTTGCATTCAAATCCAAATCCAAACAAAACCACCAGTTAAGGGTTAGCTGAGTTGTTTGTCTGCCCGTCCCTTCGCGGTTTCTCTGACAATCGGCTCTCACACTTCGACTCCAGTAAAGACGGCCGCCCCGCATCGGCCAAGAGGCCCAAAGCCCAGTACTGCAAAGCGCCCGAAAATTGAGAGCGGTCGCAAAGCCGTAGGGCTGCTCGCCAAACCTCAGCTGGACTGTTGAAAACTAGACTCAACACATCAAACTGATCAACAAATCTCTCGATTCTACGTGTTTTGGGGAGGCGCCTTAGTTTTTGAAGGGCATGGAAGTGTGGCTCTCCAGCGAAACGCACCCAGCTTCAAAGCCTCGAGTCCAAAGCTTGCCCAAGGCATGCAGGACACCTCCTCACCAGTCCCTCCCCGCGGCTGACACCCCTAAAACCACGGCCTTCTTGGAAAAATAGATAGCCCTGGTAAATGGAACAAACCCCATCCAGAACCATCTGATTGTATCGAACCTAACCTAAAACGGACACCTACCAGTATGCCTCCTAGCCAAACCTAACGACTCGTATAGATCAAACAAGTGCAGCCCACCCACTGACCCAGTGCTTCCTAGCCAAACCAAAGCTCGCAACATCGGAGATCCAAAAAGCCGCCGCCCACCTACCCCAGCCACTGACGCCAGAGGCGCTGCAGGTGGCCTTGGTCCAGCTCCACCGCCCCCGGCACCAGAGGCGACACATGTAGCCGTTGCTCCCAAGGCACCTGGGCGGGCGCCACGGGCGCCACGCTCGGCGGGTCGCGGCGCCACGAGGGTCGCGGGTTAAGAAGTCCCCACGTTCGTACACGCTTGCGACCTCACTCCTTTGTAGCTTAGACATAAGCTGTTGGCAATGTAGGTCACAACTAACTTACAAGTGCCCCAAAGTGGGGGTAACCTTCTCCGCCGACATTGGGGAGGCGTGTCGGATACTTCAGCGAGGATAGAGAGTAACCCCCCCCTTGCTTGGAGATGCTTAGGCCTTGGACATGCCTAGGCATGCTCTAAGCAGCCATCTCAAACATCCGTTCAACTCTTGCAAGCTCAGGCACGAAGAAGCTGCATCCTTGGCTGGTCAAGGCGGTGTCTGCCAGGAAGGCGTTGGTCCACATGCCATGATTGGGAATAGCCCAGATGTAAGGTCCTAGCAACGCTGAGTATAGACAACTGTGCGATTCCCTGACCACAGTCAGCAACAAACACTAGACACCCTTCTTGGCAACAAGCTCCGAGGGTAATTCCACCCCTTCAAAAACACATTAGATGCTGGCAAGTCGAGCATGGAATGCGAATGTATGAGCTAACCGTGCAAACCAGGTGGTTTGAAGACCCAAGTTTGGGTACACTCACAACTAAGAATGATGATGACCTGACTTTTGGAAAAGCTGGCCGGCAACAAGTGCACAGGCTGATGGCCACGATTGGATCCCAACGAATCTATTCTTCTCCATTGCCCGATTGAGCGGCGCGAACGGCCCATTCAGATTTGGTTGTGCCAGGATGCCTCAATAATACATCATAAAGTGCCTATTTGTGGCTCTCGGGATTTGAAGACTTTATCAAACTAACATGCAGGGAATTAGGCTGGTCTTTGAATGATTTGATCACCTGCTAACAACAATTCGTTGCAAATCGGAAATCTGCATGGGGTTTTCGGGCTCCTCGGCTTGCAAATGATGAGTCTGCGATTTGTTGGGCCTCTCCCTATGACTTTGAGGGCCCAACCCAAAATGGGGAGGGATGACAAACAATTCGCCAATGTCACACAACAGTGATTCCCCGACCTAAAAGGAAAAAGGTACAAGGACTACACACTTGCTTTTTACGCAATTGGCGCGTTTTCACCGAGCTGCGGCGTAGCGGCTCCCCGGTCGACCGGTTCAAGCCGTAGCGGCTCCTAGCCGGAGCTTCCACTTCCAGTTTTTGGAAATATGCAGCAAAGACCCAACGGGAACAAGCTTAGCCGCTTAGGCAAAAACAAACGAAACTACTTCGCTTCGAGCAATCCCCACCCTCCACACTCACAAGCTTACGACCGTGAACACGGTTGCGTGAATTCAAGCATGGGTTTCGAGTGGCTTGGGGCCTATGACTGCTCAACAAGCTTTGCATTGAGAGCCTTATCCACCTGTCTGTGTGTGTCAAGCTCCACTTGTTTGCGAGCCGATCTCGAGAACTCAAACATCGCTCCGTTAACAAAAGCCAAGCCCCTTCCAACAAGAAACCCGACGGGGGATTAAACGAAGTTGCCTATTCACAACCCAAAGCAACACAAAAGCATCACCCTTCAGGGTACACTCAAGACAGGAAGAATGTAAACCTTACTGTGCGCCGGGCGGGACATTAAGCAAAACCAGACTGGCGAGCTGGTGTGGCGGGATACTGGAATACTGGCGAGCTGCTCCGGCTCGATACTGGCCGGATACTCGGCAAGATCCACCGGCAAGGGGTACTCAGCGTGATACTTGGCGGGATCCACTGGCGAGCTCTGGCGGGATACTGGGCGGGACACTGGCCAGCTGCTCTGGCGGGATACTCGGCGGGATCCACTGGCGAGCCGCTCTGGCGGGATACTCGACGGGATCCACTGGCGAGCCGCTCTGGCGGGATACTCGGCGGGATCCACTGGCGAGCAGCTCTGGCGGGATACTGTACAGGTTCCACTGACGAGCAGCTCTGGCGGGATACTCGGCGGGATCCACTGGCGAGCAGCTCTGGCGGGATACTCGGCGGGATCCACTGGCGAGCTGCTCTGGCGGGATACTCGGCGGGGTCCACTGGCGAGCTGCTCTGGCGGGATACTAGATGGGGGCGTGGTGTAGAAGCATCGCAAGCGCGGATTCCAACATAAAATCTAACAACCCCTTCCTGTCGGGTGGGGAAAAACCATTGGCAAGGTCAAACAAAGCATCTCGTCAATCAATCAGTCAACTTCCAGGAGCACAAATCCTGAAGAAGATTTACTCTGAGTTGACACTCGTAACCATGAGGTGGCCTTGTGTGTCCTAATTGATGGCGCTGACGCTTGCAAAAGCTTGGCCCTGGTTTAGTGTGGCGTCAACAGTGGTCGATAGAGACGCTAGCCACGGGGTGGACGATTGCTGCGCTTGAAGTTCCCGCTACTTGAAGGTTTGCCTTGCAACACGTCAACACATTAAAAGTAGGCTGTGCTATTCAGGTCCTTCTGAACATGAGTCCTGCCCCTTGCGCCAAGTATCTGCAAATAATCCTTCTCAGCCCAGTGTCGAGCTCCAGTATCCTTGCAATGTGCGCGGGATTTGGACGCACTCCGGGCCAGAAAGTCGCAGGGGACCGAGGGTTCCAGTCCTCGTTTCCATTTACCAGGGCTCCATTTCGGGTACCTGTTGACCCATGAATTCGGAGCGGCAAGCTTCCCAGTAGCGCAGCGTGTAGTCGCCATCCAGCAAGACGTGGAAAACCCCAGCTTCGGCAAAGCGCAATGACAGATCCGCCACGAACTGGTCGTATTCAACCTGCGCAGCTAGATGCGGCTAGACCTTTGGCAGCCTCAAAGTAACAAGGACCTCCAATAGGCTAGTCCATCAGCGCAAGAGAACACAAGCAACAGCCGCCGACTTGATTGAAACGCAGAGCGCCTAGCTTCCGTTGCTTGAGCCCCCTGGACAACATAAAATATGCCCAGTAGAACAGAAGAAGGAAAACACATTCTTAAGCACATGGAAGCTAGTTGTGCGATTCCTTCTAGCAAACTCAGTATGGAGCGATCCTTCTGTGATGGCTTCTCATCCGCAGGTCGCCAGGCAACTGCAAGCACACATCTGGAACCGACCTGACAAACTAGGTGTAAGCAACATGGTGCGTGGATGCAACAGTGGCAAAGGATGCTCCCCCAAAGAAACCGACCCATCCAAGCACGAATGCATAAAACAATGCAGGTAGAAGCCCTCAATTGATTCAGATTGATTCTACCTATACATTGGAATCGTCACGTCGGAAATGCAAGGGGTGACCTCGGCGTGCTTCCTCGTCTATCACCATTCAGCTAACGCCCTGCCCGCTCCTGATGGCTTGCTCCGTTTCGACGATGCAACCTACTCCAGGTTCCTGAAAGGAAATGAAAGGAAATATCTCAAGATCACACAATTCAAGCCTTGAGCCTCTTTGATCAAACAAAAAAACCTCATCCTTCAAATTCAACATAGCCAGCGTAGGGTGTGTCTATCTGTTCATCCAAGCCATGCCAGCCCGCCTGGTCAATGGTCCTCAGCGCTCGGAGCTTTGCCTAGGCCACGTGATGCTCGTTTGGAGTGGTCCCTTGATAGGCATAGTCTGGAGGCTTGGCGCGGCTTAGTGCGGTATGGCATTACATCCGGCATGTTGTGCGGAGGCTCGCTGGTTTGCTTCGCTCTTCAACAAACTGAGGTGTGCCAAAAGACGACATTCCCCGAGAAATACTGGGCACACCCCGCAAAACTCTGCATAGCGGACCATGGCCAGGGAGGACCAGCCCTGCTTGAAAGACTGAGGTTTCAATGAGCCCAAGCCAAACATCATCAACGGAGCACAGCAACAATGCTCAAGAGTCACGCTCCACTGCTGGTATGAGAGGAAGGCAACCCATTGAGATACTTGAACAATCATTGTGCTGTCGGGGCCGACGTAGCCTGGAAAACAAGCCTTGTCTGCTGGAGACGCCGGTGATATTCAGTCTTACACGTTTGCCGTGACGGTTGGCTTCGTTTAGTTGCCTTCCTTCCGTCTGTTTCCAACAGCCAGCACCAGGATGGACCACGTGTAGCACCAGGTGCTTCTGGGTGGCTGTGTGGAAGGGGAAGGGCGAGAGCGACATGACCGGCACGCCCACGTCGATGGACACAACGTGGGGATTCTCCGTGTGGGATAGAGACATGTGCCGCTTGATGTGGAGGAACTCCCGGCCAGTGGCTGGTGCAAAGCCTACGGACTAAGGCCCGGCTGCCGATGTTCAGGTTGCCCCAAACAACGCTTTGTGTTCTTCTTCTTCTTTTTTCTCGGTAGTCTTTCATCAGAGCCTCGCCAGGGTACCCAGGAGATTAGGCAGAGCCATGTACCAGGGTCTAAGTGGGACGTACCTGCCTGAAGGTGGCTATGATATGTTATTATTCAGCAGCTTAGCACCCGACGTTTCTTTTTGCACACAAGGTGCTCACCCGCAGGGGGAAGCCGTTCTCAGTAGGCTGACGTCCCACAGACTCCAAAGTGTGCACTCCGTGCTCATCCGTCGCCACCGTGACCTCGGGCGGGGTCTAAGAAAAAAAGGGGTCCGAAGAGGGAGGGTGGTTTGACTGTGGGTTCACGGATGGTTGCAGGATGGATTGGGGTTTTTTAATGCGGTAGGATTTATTTTGGGCTGGCTTGGGATTCACCAGAGGTAGGTTGTAGGTTGGGATCAGATGATCAGACTTGGTTCAGCCCCGGACTAGAGCCAATTCAGTTTGGCAGGGTTTTGACTTGGGCAGCGTAGGGTTGGCCAAGGGTGTAACACAAAAGCGTTCCTGCCGCAAACACCCAAAACAAGCATGAACCAACATGATCCACAAGCGGCAACACCACGGAAGGTAAGTGTTGCTGCTTGCCATGGGTAAACTGGGACAAACCCTCAGGCAAGTGAACAAATACCCGCCGTGGTCGGGCGTGGCCCCCCCCCCCCCCAATTTATGCATGCTTGCCTCAAAATAGCAGACATCTCAAAATATGTGGTATCCATTTGATTGGGCTTCAAGCATGCGAAAGGGCGTCCCATGGAGTCCCCCATGTTGAGCTCCCTAGTTTCCTCCATTTGCTTAAGCCCCCAGGGATACATAACAATGTGTCCAGTAGTATCCAGTAGTGATAGATTTTCTTTAAAACCAACAAGTTCAAATAATAGTATTCGTGATAAATTCAGCAAATAGAAGTCAGAGTTCAGAGTGTCTTGTGCCGACTTCGCCCCGGGGAAGAACCATGGAAGCAAGGGATCCGAAGCAAATGGGGAAGTAAACCAACAGGCAACAACAAGAAATATTCGTTTCGATAGATCCGGTGGGGTTCCGTGGTACCGCGGCTGGGTCAAAGCAACTGGAAGTTTCGAGTCGAAGCGAGGGATTTCGCCGAGGGTCGGGAAAGCCTTCAGAGTCCACGACCTCCAGCCGCGAGAGGTCCACCAAAGCCAGTGGCACTTGGGCCGCTTGCAAGCGAGCCTCCTGAGAGGCGTGATTCTGATGGCGGCGTGTGCCGCCCTCAGAGAAACAAACAGCATTCACCTCCACTTGAAAACTGTTGGCAGGATGTGATATGAGTCCTTTTGAGGATACACCCGTCCCCACTCCCCCCCTCCACATCTTTCTTCTAGGCACCAACCTCCCCACTCATGAAGAAGGAAGCACTGGCAAGACCAGCGTGCCTTGCATCTAAAACCGGGGGGGCGCCAGCTCTCGCTGGCGTTTGGACCACAAGTCAAGCTTTGCCTCTCAAGCCAGGCGTCCACCACAGCAGGCTCCGACTGCACAGCTTCCAAGGACAGATTGAATGTCACCTCTGTGGGCGGCCTCAGAACCTGCGCGGCTCGCAACCCAAGTGCGAAACCGGCTGGAGGCAACTATGACATGACAGCCTCGGCAACTTGAGCATGTCAGCTTAAAGCAGCCTCAACTTAAACGCACCTCAAGTATCAGCCATTCTCCATATGGCTGCGGTAGGGCTTTTGTGTTTCCAAGTTTTCCGAAGTCTTGCATACAACCCAGCAGCCTGCTTTCCTGGGCTGAGAGTGGCTCGACTAGCATGAAGCACTGGCAAAGAACCACGCCACATGCCTCAGAAAAAGCCCGCCGTGCGTCGTATGGTATCCCTTCGGCCCCCAAATGACCATTGGTAATTCTTGCCGTTGGCATATCATATCTATTTCGTGGTTACTTTCAATGGCTCAGTTGCGCAAGGTTCACCTTTTGGGACCTTAAAAATGGACCAAGATGGGAAAACCAACACGTCAGGTCCGGTCGGCTCGCTTTGGACTGAGATGGTCCCCTGTTTACAGGACCTTTTGATCAACCCCCCATTCTAGGGCTAGCTTCTCCACTCTTTCCAGGGATCCTTCCGTCTAGAAACCTCCTGAAGCCACCCCCAAAAAAAAACGAGGTTCGCAGCAATGGGGAAACAACTTTTTCAGAGTCATGACCAATTGACCAATTCTCGGGGTCCTGGTACCACGAAGTTTCGCCCAACCAGGTAACCATGGCCTGGCGTGTGCCAACCACAAAAACGCCCCACGCGGCCGCCCGGCGCGGCGCGGCCTCCACCGAGGCGGAGGGGCGGCGGAAGTCCAGGGCCACGTGCTCCGAGTGGAAGAGCAGGGCAGCCAGGAGCCCGTGCTTGCAGCTGAAGGTCTCCAAGTTCTCCTGAGGAATTTCAAGCCATGTGGCTCTTTTCCAGTGGAGCACCCAAAATGGCTGGAGAAAAAATGGCGTGTCCCTTTTGGCCTAAAGAAATCCATGGCATTCCATGGGTCATTGTTTGAGTGGATCGATTTTCATCTCGTTTGACAAAGCTGTTTTTTGTTAAGTCTGTGAATTTGCATTGCGGCATGGGGCATGGCAGGATTAGAGCCTTAATTTCTATGATGGCTGAAGAAAAAACGGTGTTCTTTGTTTTGCCTTTTTGGTGGCTCGTCGTTTTGAGTGGATCCCCCTAAAACGGCTGAAAAACCATCCTATTGGTACTTGTGGGCGGATCCTGCCTTGTTTCAGTGGACCCCCCCCTTGAAAACCATCTCCTGAACTCCATGGTGGGTGCCTGGTCTTTTTTGAGACCCCCAAAATGGGCTGAAAAACAACGTGTTCCTTTGAGTAGTCAGCCGGAATGGCTTGAACCGGTGGTTTGTTCCTTCAAAACCGCACCAAAAAGGGGTTGCCCTGAAAAACATGACGCAGCCATGTTGGCCTTTCAGGCTACCCTCTTGAAAAGAACCTCTTTGCCGGCAAGAGGACTATGAGGCATCACACGCTGTCGAGTTTGGAGGCAAACCCCATGGTTCTATCTGCCTGCACCTGCGCCGGTCATTGCGCGTTCAGCAAGATATGGCTCGTCAATTTTATTCCACCTGAACCATGGGGTAGGGATAAACATGGCTGCGGCTCACATTTGTTCAGCCTCAGCCTGGGGACGGAGCCTCCAAGCTTTTCCCTCACTTGGGCGCTTACGCCCCATGGTGATAGATGATCCCCTTCAGGCATGTAAACGAGCTGTCTCCGCCAACAGTCTCTATTTTGGAAGATGACATTCAAGCACAAGGCCCGAAGCTCTTCAAAAATTCCCCTTCCAATCTGCCTACTGGTGTGTGTGTGTGTGTCGATATCTGCGACTCTGGCATCCTGGCCCTGCTCAAGCATCGTGATGTAGAGCCGGAGGACCGCATGCGCAACCTTAGCTTTGAATTTGGGGTTTCCTTTTTAATGTTGACCCCATATTAATCAACCCTGATTCTGAAACGCTGTTTTTCTCGGATTTTCGCCCACAAGACAGCCAACACAAAACGATCCATGCAGTCCTTTTGGTCTATCTATTCTGCACTTTGCCACCCGCAAAAAAAACAAAAAAACAACTGAGGTTTTTCTGGGGCTGAGGCCGGCACATCTGCCAGCTCTGGATGACTCAGGCAGCGGTTCCCCTCGCAATGCCGGCAAATGAGCTCCAGAAGTCTCTGCCACAAGGTGTTGTCCTCGCAAAGTTCGCAGGCACGAAAAACACTTGCTGGTGCGATAGGTAGGAAATAACCGTTCCGGGTGTTGGGAAGGAACCGTTTGGGGCAGGGAATGACTTCCCTTAAAGGAAACCATTGAGGATGGTTCCTTCATTCCCAGCTGAGAACCAGCAAGAAAAACATGCACTGGATGGATGCAAAACCACAGCGGCAGCCCAATTCCGCACATGGTGCCACCCCCCTTCCAATTCCCACTACGCAAGGTCGCAACATGTTATCGCAGCCGGGCATCGCAGTCAACCTCCGGCAGTATGCTTGCATCACCTCAGAAGCAGGAAACCTTTCGCACGCATTGCTGACAGCCCATTTTCCAGCATGCACACATGCCTGAAGGATGTTAAACTCTCCGAAGCTTCCCTGTCCACAGCCCAGCCATTCCTTCGACCTTGGCTCCTCCAGTCACCGCCCCCCTCCTCCCAAAACCCGCACATCCCTCGCCCGGCCAGCCCATGGAGCCCCAGCCGGGGTGCACAGCGCGCCCTGCGACTCCAGCTCCAGCATACGAGTCAGATCCTTCCGGGCAAAAAAGATAGGCGCCCAAAGTGCCCAAAGTTGCCATCACTTGCCCAAAGGACCTTTTTTGTTATATATATATATATATATATATATTTGGGACCTCTACAAGAAATGGACCAAAGATTGAATACCAAAAGGCCAAAAGGTCGGCTTTGAACAATTTGAGTGCTTGTCAATGCATGGGTTTGACGTGATCCGAATCGGAACCATGTAACAGTTGATTCCAATTCACCCACTGGAAAGCGGGGATCGCCACCAGGATTTGTGGTTTGCTTGCGCTCTTGGTGGGCGCATTTTGCCCCAGTTGAGCCTATGATTTGTACAACTACAAGGTTTGGCAACTAAGACCAGGCTGTTCCATCGGCGACGTCACGTTCAGGTTCCATGACATTTCGAAGCTTGAGCTCCAAGTTGGTCCGCAATCCCGGGCTAAAGCCTCTCCAAGAGAAATTAACCCGCAGAAAAGTTGACCTTCGATGCACATGTGGAGCGACGTTCTCACGCCGAGCATCCACATAGTGACCGGCCACCCCAAGACAGAGCACAAAACGCCATGCCATGCCATGCGGGGCGCGCGCCGGAAGGCTCCGGGCAACCCGCTATACGCCTGACATCAGCACAGCTCCGCGCTCCGCGGAGGGCGTTGGCGTGTCGCGAAGTTCGAGCTATCCGATGTGCGAAGGGTTGTTTGGCTAGGAGTGGGCACAGGCGGGCTGAGCAACGCGCCCAACCTGCTGCTGGATCCTTGGCCCAACATGGAAGAAGAAAAGGCATGGATTCTCGCAGCACATTTGGGTGTGGCCCGCAAAGTGAGCTGTTCTGTAACTACGTGCTGCTCCTCCATGTTAGGTAAAACCAGCCAGAGCCAAATGGCCGCACAACTTGCAATTCCTGAGCTGCTAAGGTGGCGGAGCATGCACTTGTTCATCAATCAATAACAGCTTGCCCCATCCAAGCAGCTTCTTTCGTCATTGCATCCTGTGTCGCCCCCTTTCTGAGAAAATTGACCGGGTTTCAAAGCACAGGCTCACGGAGAGTCAGCGAGAGTCAGGTACCTGAGGCCCCCAACATCAGCACGCCTGCGAGTCAGCCCCAGACTTCACAGCCTCAAGCCTGCGGCCTTTGCCAAAGCATAGGGACCTCCTGAAGCCTGTGGAGGAACCTGCCAGCCGTCGCATAACACCATAATTAGTCACACAAGTAAGTAAAGAGACAGAAACACACTCCCTGAACTGCGTCGATTCCAAATTCCAAAGGCCCTGCCGCTTGTGCCCGGCCTTCGGCCAAGGCTTGACGTCAGGCAACCAAAAGGTGAGGCTCACGGGCGTTTGCTTCTGACATGTGGATAACCCGCTCTTCTACACTGACGCGTGGTTGACCTAAGGACAACCGATTGCTTGCATGCCGGCATTGCTTGCTTCGAGTGATCTGCTCCAGCACTTTGTGTTGTGGAAAGGCCTGTTTCCGGCGAGTGACACATGGCGCCGCTTTGCCAAAAGAGCGCGCGAGGAAATGCTTCGGCTTATGCAGGCACTTCCTCCCTACGCCAGTGACAAATTAGGGCAGGAAACCACGGTGGGCATCTGCTTGACTGTTCTCATGCGATGACCAACCACATTTCAGTGCACCTTTTCCAGCATTAAATCAGCAGCCGCCGGTGTCTTTTCTAAGCGTCTTCACGTCTTTGACAAGCTGTGCAGGGTGGCCAGCCTGTCAAGACTCGGCACTTGCACGGCCTGCCTTCTTTGGAGACCTTGGCTCGGCCTACAGTGCAGGCTCGCTGCCCGCTACTGTCCCTCGGGGCAAACCGGCTCAGTCGTCGTCAGAATCCTCTTTGGCGGGCTGTCGCATTGCCAGCAATTTCCTAGCGCAAGCGGCTGGCCAGCTGGCTTCCCGACCAAACAGGGTAGCCATGACAAAGGCCGGGGCACACATCCCAGAATTTGGTTGAACAACTTCCCCCCCCTTCTCGGTGCTACAAAAGTGTTAGGACACATCAACATAGTTTGATTGGACACGGATATTGATTGAAAAACCCTCTCAGCCTTGTTTGCCGCAGTGTTGGCTCTCTTTGTTCAAGCGGTCAAAGCAGGCTCTTCCTGGAATACGTCGTTGCACCATAGGCCGGCAAGCATATAGCAACGCATCGCTACTTTCAAGCACAGAAGGGAACGAACAAACAAACAAACAAACAAACAAACAAACAAACAGCCAGCCAGCCAGCCAGCCAGCCAGCCAACCAATAGGCAGCCAGCCAAACAATCAAACAAACAACCAAGCAACCAAGCAACCAAGCAACCAAGCAACCAACCAAGCAGACAAGCAGACAAGCAGACGCAAACAAAAAGCAAACCAGCGCGAAACCACATCAGCAAAAACAAACAAACAAACAAGCAAGCAAGCAGACCAAGAAAGGAAGCAACCAGCCAGCCAGCCAACCAACCAAACACACAAATAAACACATCCCCCCCTCCGCCAGAAAAAGTGGCTTCTGGCCCCAGCCAGGCAACCAACTAAACATCACCACCAACAAATCGTAGCCTCTGGCCGTCCTTGACATTTGCTGCATCGACTCCCCGTGCAGCCCCCAGAGCTGCAACGCATACCATCGCTCCTGAGATCACCAGAGCTTCGGCTGCTTCGGCTGCTTCTTAGGGATGGCTCAGGGCCGGTTTCAGCAAATTCACCGAAGGCAACACCCTGGCCTTTCCCAGTGTGGGGGGGAGGTAAACTCTGAAACACCGTTGAAGACCTGGCGTCTAGAGACTGGAGATCTCAGAAGGACAACCTTCGAAGGTGTCCAGAAGCTAAGGCCTAAAACATTGAGAAGGGCTGAGAAGGAAAGCTTTCGGTCCCAAAGCTCCGCCCTGAAACATATTGGTTGCCCTGCGAGTTGTTTCAACAAAAGTCCCAGGTCGCTCTAACGCAAAATGGCGCCCGAAACCAACTGACAATGGCGTATGAGCTTGGGAAAGCCTCTCGTTTCAGGTAGGCCTCCAAAGAGAAGGGTCCTTCTTGAAACCTTTTTGAAGAGGCCAAACTGCGGCCGAATATCACGATTGCACCTGAACATGACCGAAACACACCAAGCGGGTTGCGCTCGATTGATCTATCTTTTTCCGGTTTTCTGTTGGGGAACAGGGTCCGCACTGCGAACACTTCCGTCCATCATCCCAAAAGGTCGTGTGATGTCGTGTGACAGGTTGAGGGGGCAAAAAAGGAAGTCCACGAACTTTCTTCTCAAAGGCTCATGAAACAAGGGGGAAACACACCTGGGCTGCCCTCAGATCCCCCGCTAAACGTTTACCTTTTAGTGGGTTACATGGAAACTACCACTAAACACTACAAGGTGAAAAAGCTTAGAAACCGGATGGCTGGGGGCCACCAAGACCTCTGGTCCTCACAACCCCCGCCTTGCCGCTGGTGGGCACCACCCGGTGGGCGATCCGCTCGGAGAGGTGCAGGACCAAGGTGTCCCCGTGGGGAGCCACCCTGGCGTTTCAGGGACTCGCGAAAGGATGCGCATGTACAGACACACTGAGGGGTTGCTTCCCCATTCTTTTCAGCCACGTTATTTTCAAAAACCAGCCATTTCCCCTGGGTTTTTGAGGGTTCTCTAGAAAGAAAGATCCCTGGAAAAAATGGGGAAGTTACCCCCAAAACGCTGACTTATATTCTTCAGCAAATGGTTGTTGTTGGGGCCTTCTCCTTCTTCCCCCCTCCCCCCCCAAAAAAAACACAAAACAAAACGCTGCGTCGGATCGACCAAACACCGCGCGCTGTCGCAAAGGGCAAAGTGTGGTTTCCGGCATCTGACAAAAACTTGCTTGCGCGAGAGATGCAGGGGCCCTGAGAAATGGAATGACCCTTATAAACAGTTCAACTGACGGACATTCCCTGAGCACCAGCAAGATAATTCCAAAAGCTGAAATACGAATCAGATCCCCGAGTACAGGATCGTTTTGCTGAGCTCGTATTACTTTTAGTTGAGCTCGCTAGGCAGAAACATCCCTCCCCCAGTAGTTGCCTACGGCGACGATGGCGACGCGAAACACTGCTTTATGCTTTTTAAGCCTGCAGCGTGGTCATGAATGAGTTTGCGCCACACGCCTTCGAATGGACTCCAGGGAGGGGGGAGGGGGGGGGGGCAAGAGGATGCATCATGGACGCCAGGTGTGCACTGAGATCTGACAACGGAACTGTCCGGTGTTGTCCTAGAAAACGGCTTGGATGCGTTTTGTGGACTTCATCCGTTCTTAGTCCCTGTAGGTTCTTTTCTAGTACTATTCTAGTACTCTTTTAATATCCTGCAGGGGTGGATCCACAAGAATCGCATCCAAACCGTTTTCTGGAGCTGGGCAACCAGCCAACTTCTTTACATAATTCCTTTCGAAACCACAGGGGCACACAGTCATCCCAAGGGTGTCCCATGGAAGGCCCCTGACTCTCTTTGGAGGCAATGCTTGGGAACAGTCTTTACGATTCATGTCCACCCCTGGGTGGAAAGAGATTCCCAGACCAGGTCTAAGCAATTTTCTTCTAGGGGGGTTCAAATCTTAGGAGCCCCCCATACTAAAACAATTGACAGGCAGGAATAAACTAAGCAACGAACAAGAACGTATTAGATGGCACCCTTGACTGTGTTGACTGCGTTTGTCCTCCACCCCGCCTGACTCTGGGGCATTTCCGCGCGCTCGAGGCCGAGCTAGGCGCGGAGCTAGGGTCCGTGATGAAGATGTCCAGGCCGCCCTGACTTAAGTGTGGCTGGTTCAAAGGCGCGAAGAACAAAATGGCTGTTGAAATGGGACCCTTCCCCACTTCAGCCTTCAAAGTTTTCGTTCAAATGGAACCCTTCTCCACTTCGGCCTTCAAGCTGCTCATTTGAGTAAATAGCGCGACGGACTGCAAACACCAGGTAATTATCTTTGGGATCCCGTCATGAAATGCCGCCTTTTTTCATTGCCAGGATGCCTTTTGGAAGGCCAGGCTCCCACAGGCTCGCCCCCTTACCAACCCACATTCACAAGCCACCAGAATCAAAGATGCCTCCCGCATCTTAAACCTCAAGATGCAGGTGAGCTATCTGCAAAATGAAAAGATCCTATTCCAACCGAATACATGTCCTTGAGGCGGAGAGTTTTGGGGATCCCCCATGTTCTTTGCAGGACCCAGTCTTACATCTGCCTGCTTCTGTCTGGCACACTTCCTAAACAGCTTGAGCGGGGCTGGGCTTGGCTTGGTTCCAAGAAATTGTGTCGCACTGTGTGCTTGCTCAGTCCTTACATTGTGGCCAAAGGCCGGCTATTGTCTTCCAGCTTTCCTTGAGCTATGTTCAGCCTTCTTTGCAAGACCTTTTTACAGGGACCGGGGGTTGAGCAACAAGATCAGGCAAAATGCAACAAAGACGCGGCGACCAGCAATGAACGAACGATATAGGGCAACTCCGGCAAACTGTCTCCAGCGGCCCAAGTTAGAAATAAACCTGAAATGCTTGGAGGGCCCTCCCGTCCAAGGAACACGGAACCCACCAACGACCTACTCAGCTTCCATGTCAGCGAATCTCTTTTTTTGGACTGGCTTGCGACGAGCAAGCAGGTTGTGTTGAAAATAGTGCAAGTTTGAATGTTGCTTGGTTATGTGACTGATCAGATGGGACAGTGGGAAGGAGTACATCGATGGCCAAGAAAGGCTACGTCAAAAGCCCTCCAGGCCTGCTCACCTTCATCCGGATCCCAGTGGGGGTTGATGTAGTAGGTGCAAGAGAGCCCTTGATTCAAAGCGGGCTGCAATTGACAAGCACGGGCGTCTGGATGGAACAAGCATATAGACAAGCTTGGCTGCCATTGTGAATAGTCTAGGGTGCCTTGCTGTCCCAGCTTTTTGCAATCACGCAGCCATGCAGATGCCAAAGCTGCCAAGCGGCGCATGCCGTTGTCCGGCAGGGTTCCCTCTTCGTTGTGGGGGTTGTCTATGTGCACCTGGTGCTGCCTGTCACCGGTGTAGCAGGTCAGCAGAGGCTGCCCAAGCCGATCGAAGGTCACCTAGGTAAATCCAGACTTTCCTCTAAAAATGGGTGCCTGCACACTTCCCAGGTTGTTGGTGAGGGTACCCCAGCTTCCTGTCTATATTTTTTCCCAGCTTGGTACAGAATTTCTGGAAGTAAATGGGACACCCCACCTTAACCACCAAACCAATCCAAAGCACCAATTGGACCAATTGGAGGGAAGCTGAATGCTCAAAGCCACTCGTGCCAAGGGGCCCCCAGCTCCTTCTCCAAAAGCGGCCCCAGGCCAGCGCAAAAGTCCCCCATGTTCCGGCCCAGTAGCTTCCTGAGCTGCATGCAACAGAAAAGCTGGGGATGATATTTTCCAGAAGAGGGGGGTGTCTTAAAAACAGGGGACCACCCAAATGGTGGCTGTCCTTTTGGTTTCCCTTTGAAACGACTCTAAAAGAAGTAATTATCCTCAAAGCATCAAAGGAGTCCACACAAACCAGCGTGAAGAATCAAAAGGGGGCCCCGGTTTCTGGGCTGGACTAAAAACCAAGCTGCCAACTCGTTTCAAACATGCTTCAGCCTGGCCCAGCTGCCAACGGCTGGAGGGAAAAAAACAAAAAAAAAACAAGCCTCCAGCGTTTTGCAAGGCCGCTGTGTGACCTTCACGGCATTTGCAAAAGCCTCTTATGCATACAGCTGCCAAAAAACGCCCTGAGGAGCCCTGTGAAACCTACTGCGGCCTCAACCGCTTGGCACAAGGGCGGTTGCGGGGGGCAGTCGAGAAAAGCAAGCCCGTCCATATGCGGCCCAGAAAGACGAATCAAGCCAAGAGACAGCGCGTTCTTCAGCTGAATGGCTTTTGATTCTCCGTCTCCTGAATCTGAGCGTTTGTGCACCGGGCAGCAAGTGCCCAACTACTTGCTAGAACCCTGCGCAAACAACTTGGTGACACAGTCTCCAAATCTCAAAGCACATCAGCCTCTAGGTGCTCAAATGCCAACTTTGCCAAAGCCGTGTGATTCAACTCATGTGCCTGAACCATGCCATTGGGCCCTTGGGCCCTTGGCCTTCTGAGCCTTCTGAATTCCTCAAAGGCCCCATGGCGAAGGGCGAAGCGCTCTGAAACCGCCGAGGCACGAATCCAAACCGACTTCTCCACATCCTGGCGAAGCTTTAAAGGCCACGAGTGCCTTTTTGTATATAATAAAAAAAAAAAATAAAACATGTTCCAACAGAGAAGCGCATAAGCCCAACAGGTATCCCCCACCTGCCGCAGGAACCTGCCCCAGCACCCCCAACCGAGCATTCGCTTCAAGCCCCCGTAGCTGATCAAGCTGAAGGGCGTGGTTGGGGAGCCAGCATGGCTGAGGCAAATTAAGGGACCTTTGATTGTGGAAAGGATGCCGCGTAAAACCACCCCGAGCACAGCTTGCTCACGGATAGGCAAGCCAAGACAGGCCATCATGGGCCATCCGCTCGATTGCTGGCTGCGATGTCGAAAATGTTGTCATTGAACGTGACGTCCCGTTGCTGTCCCACATAGCTTGCTTTCTGCCTATTACAACCAACCGTTGTGACGCCGCAGCCCACGACCTATACAATTCTTGGCAACGAGGATGAAAGACCGAATTGTTGGCAAGGTGTCAGTGCAACCATACCAGAGAACCAAGCAACTGCTTCTAACCGAGCCCCCCGGCTCACTTTGAGATTTGGTTCAAGATCAGCTTCAGGGTGGCTTTGGTGACAGTTTAGGATGAGGTTTAGAATTAGCTTCGGGTTGGGCCAGGTTGGGTTTAGGATCACGTTGGGCGCGGATATGGGTCTTGGCGCAAGGTTGGCTCCGATATCAGGCTTTAGGCTTTAGGGCGTCTGATCTACGCTCCGGCTGGGGCTTCGGGGATTGCGACAGCCGCATCAAATTATTGGGCACCCCAAACCCCAAAAACCAAAGCACGGCCACTAGTGCATAGCAAACTACCTCTAACCTAACAAAAGGATGTGCCAAGTGAGGGACCTCAATGCCGGCGTTTTGCCCCCCCTTTGAAACTTTGAACCAGCCGCCCTGCCACCCGCCCCTCGGCCCCCGGCCCCTCGACCCGACCCACCCGGCCCGCCATCTCCCGCCTGCAGGGCGTGGCTCCAGAGCTGCGCCTCCAGCAAGCTCCGGTCGTCGTGCACCCGCAACGGCGCCTTGAACTCGCCTGCCACGAGACGCGTGCGACTCGAAGCAATCCACCCGGCGACGGGCGGTCATTCTTTTTTTTAGGAACCCGGCCACCTGTTTTCTACCATCAACCCAGCTAAACCGGTGGAGAACCCACCTATCCCACCTATTTCTAACCAAGCTAACCTGGGTCCTCCAGTAGTTTGAGAGGTGAGAATAAGTTGGTACCAACTTTTGTTATGTTGTCGATTTTAGTAGGGCCCCGAACCCTCCCCACCAAAAAGGGCAAAAGGGCAGGACTGGGGGACCTAGAGTCTCTTACTGCTGTTGCATCCAAAAGGAGTGCCTGTCACTGGGAGGAGCAATCTTGGGGAGAATTGGCCGGGCCTCTGCAGCCACACTCTAGAGACAACTTGTGTAAAACAAGATTGGCGAAACCCAGAGACTTGGAACAATCCGATGAGCACTAGAGCAACAATGAATCGCCCTCAGATCCTCGTCCCTGTCAGGGAGCAAGAATGAGAATGCCCACGGTGTGCACATCCGCTTCTTGCCAAGGTGCCATCCTCCCACAGGGACTCCGCTTCCTCAAATGCAGTGCTCACCTAGGCGGACCACATTTGTTGCAAGGCTTAAGCCATAGCCTGCGCCTAGCTGCACCCTAAGGGTCCCTCATGGACCTGGGCTCCTTAAGGGATGTTGGCTGGGAAAGCGTTTGGGTCCTTGCCTTGCGGGGAGGGGGGTGGGGGGTCCCCCAATTCCATTTATTTACTCTTCCCCGCAAAAGGGAAAATGGAACCATAAATGGAAATCCAGGCGTCACCCCCCTCCCCCAATTCCATTCTTAAGGGGGTGGGGATGTCCTTGTCAAATTCAAGCCAAGCAGCCAAGCCCCACCCCCGCCAAGCTAGTTCCATTGCACAGGGGGTCTGATCTCAGCCAGGCTGCCAGTTGGAGCGGCGCATTGGCCTGGACGAGGCAGAAACCCGTCTGCTTCAGAACCTTCGCGATCTTCTCTGCAGCCAACCTCAACCCCCAAAACCTTTCAACTGGGCTCCCGGCTTTTCAGACAATCTCCGAACAGATTTGTGAGCGTGGTGCAACAGCTCTTACGACCCACTGATGGTATCTAGCCATATCTAAATCCGGCTTGGTTTTGGATGCTGTGCTCGGCCATTCGTCCGTTCTGTTCGATTGATGCAATAAACGATCGGGAAGGCCGGGTGCCGTCTTGCAAATGGCCATGGGTCAAAATCCCAAACTCCCAGTGAACATCCCCATCCCCGGTGAAATAGGTTCTAAAAAGGGTGGTGAATTCACCTACCCCAAAAATGGGATCCCATTGGTTTTGACCCACAGCCAACTGACGCTTCTGAGCCTGGAAGCCAGTCCAACTCAAACAAACCAACGGCTAAGCTTGCATGCCTTGGCCAATGTGTAGTGGCAATGGCAAAACCCGGACGAGCAGGAATCAAACCTCACCCCGTGAACCCCCTTGCTGAACCACCCCCCATTCTTCCGGAGTCATGGGGAATTGCATATTTGAAGCATCTTTTGCACACCATTGGTCACAAGGCAAGGGAATTTAACATCATTGCATCTTGGGCTTCAGATTTCGTCCGTCAACTGTACCAGTCCCATGTTCACGAGCACAGCGCCAAGGGCAAACACAACAGGTGTCCTGTAATGGGTGGCTTGGACTGGTGGTCTGGGGGGTTGAACCCCTGGCTTTTGGAAACCACCCCATAACCTCCAAACCACAAATCCAAACCACCACAGGGAAGCTGACGCCGTCTTTCGGCGGGTGTTGCCTTGGACCCTTTTTATGGCGATTGCTTGCAGCGGCGTGGCATGCCATCTGGCTCATCCTGCATTCCTTGGCGGCATGTTTGCAATATGGCATCGCTTGGCTAGAGAACGGCGACAGGACCAAGGATTCATGGAACAAATAAGGGATACCCAGGAATCACCCAAAAGGGAAAGCCAATGGACAACCCCTGCGAAAGGAATGGAAAGCCAATGGGAACGCCAAGGGAGGGACAACCAAGGGAAAAACCATAGAAAACCCGAGGAGAAAAAAAAAACAAAAACGAGGACACCAAGGGCACCTAAAGGGAACACCAAGGAACCTCCCACCCCCCCACGGGGAGCCAAAAACCAACGAAAATGAAATGAAGGGAACTGAAGGAAAAGGACTACAGCCATTCGCGATGCCAGGCCCTCGCCTTCTCATTCATCTGGCGGCTGGTGTAACAACCCCCCCCCAGGACTGGTGTAAAAACAAAAAAACAAGGGAAGACAGAACAAGAAACACACACACACAGAGACCCACATCAACTCCCTGAAATCAGCTTTCTTGCGAACGAAGCCTCTGTCATCCCCGAACACCTCCCCTCCACCTCCCCCCCGGCCGCTCGAGTCGAGGTCAGGGCTCGGACGTCGAAGTCGTTGCCCGCCTCCGTGGGTTTCCGCTCCAAGGGCCCCAGAGACTCGTCGTCCGCCCAGCGCATGGCCTCCTGCGAAGCAAGGCTCAGTTCTTGGCCCTGAGCCCTGGGAAAAAAATGGGAACCCTTTTTTGGGAAGACCATTTTTTAGTGGGGCAGACAACCCCAAAAAAAAGGCGAAAAAGAACTGGTGCCACTGAACAACTGAGGGGATCAACTGCCCAAGGTCCAAAGGCCGCCGATTGGTCAAAAGCAACACCGTGAGCGTTCGCCCGTTTTCAGACAGTACCGTGTCGTATTGCCCTCCCTGAAGCTTTCTTGATGTGCCCGCATTGCATTCCACATGGGACCCCAGAGGATCTGCTGATCAAATCCGAAGTCAACTTACTTATGGCGCTGCCTTTTTTGTGACTTCAAGCCCGGCGGGGCTTTGACTGCACACACGTGCATACATGATGGATCATGATGGCCTGACTGCTCGGATTCTTCATGATTAGTCAGCTTCATGCGAGGCACCGTCATCAATCCCATCATTTCTGAGCATCCGCATTGATAGACTTGAAGGGGTCGGGCTGACCAATGCCATAGAAGCCACCACTCTGCCCAAACAAATTTGGAGTAGAAGGGGTTAGCATTACTCTAGTAAGCCCAAAAAAAATTCCTTGAGATGCAAGAATGCAAAAAAAAAAAACCAGAACCAAAAAAAAGAAACACGTGTCAAGGCAGCTGTCCTTGGACGCTTTCGTCTTCACCTTCTCCTTCTTCTCCCCCATGGCGGAGAGAAAAAACAGCGCGCACGGATCGGATCTTATCGGATCTTATCGGATCGCGGCCAAGCTTGAGCTGGCAAAACCGGGCTTCGAGCCAAACAGTTCCAAAAATGACTTACCTCGCCCAACATGAAGTACGCAGGCCGCTTTTGGCCTACTTTACTTTGATTCTTTCGGAAAGGGGTCTATGCAAGTGCCAGGTTTGCAGGGAGGGTACCTTGTACTTCGGCTGTGCGCTGCGCCAAAGCCGACCTATCTGTATCTGTAATGCACATATCTGCAATTCTTACCATAATTCCCAAAGCTGAATCAAGGGATCGCGGGATCCCCAAGTAAAGAACTCTTATCGAGCCCGCTATACCCCCAGGTGAGCTCGCTGTAAAATAGGCAGAATATATGCACAGCCGGGAGCTGATGGCCCTGGAACAAGGTGCACGCATCTAAGCTGTCCTCGGATCTGCAAAAAGCTTAACTTGCGGGTTGAATGGAAACCCAACCGCAAAGCCAACTAAAAAGCCAGATTTGAGGGGATGGCTGGGAGCCACCAAGGCATCTTCACATGAATTGGATGACATTCATCTGGGGACGTCCCTGTTCTCTCACCGGCCGGAAAAAAAGGCCGATCAGCACCACCAGTACTGCAAGGGTTTTTCTCCTGACACGAGTGCGCCTGCGCTTGATATTGCATTAGCCATACATGGGAATCTGATCCATGGTCACTTGGGAAATGGTTGTGGGTCCTCTGGTGGAACCGGCGCACAATGACTGATTGTAATATCAAAAACCTTGCGCTGAATTACATTGAGTTCACATTGATCATAGGCAACCAAATGAATTGACCATGGCTCGTCTGCTTGAAAACTGTCTGCAAGCCAAAGTGGCCACGAAAACGTCGCGGTCTATTGCGCGCGCATCCGCTTGCAAGCCGGGCGTGCCATACATTCCGGCGTCTCAAAAGCGCCGTCCGTCTATGGAACTCGCCATAGAAGCCGCGAAAGTCAACCCTGAAATGCAAAGGCGTGGGCACAAAAACTCAACTTAGCCGAGACGCAAGCCCAGGGCTTGGTGCGCATGGCCGACTTCTGTGGACTCGACAGGTCCCTCTTCGGGCTTCTTAGGCTTGGCATGGCATGGTCACCGCCATCCGGTCCTTGGCACGCGAGCTCCCTTTTGTTACTCCTTGAAGACCTGGAAACGGATACACTCAAAGTCAAGAAGCAATGCATATGTTGATTCATGCCCCAGACGCTCCATGTAGGGAACATTTACCCACTGTGATTCGGGCACGAGCCTGTGCCCAGGCAATGGGTAAGTTGGGGTAAACAAGCCACAAAAGAAAGGTTCCCCAAAAGCAAACCAATCCCCGGTCCCAAAGATCAGGGTTTCCCACACACCAGAGAACAACAACCAAAGGAAAACAAACCAAACAAGAAAAGGGTTAACCCGCAACCTTGGTCGACAACAGGCCGCACGACTGGCCCCTACCAACCTGGCGGCGGCCCGAGGTCTCTTTCTCCCCCGAGATGCCGTCGGTCGACGCAGGGGTTCGGCGACGCCCATTCGAGGCGCGACGGAACCCAAAACTTGAGCCAAAGTGGCACCGGATAGTTGCTATCGCAACATGCCGGTAGTCACCTGAAATGCATGGCTAATCACACCCCCCTCACGAGGAGTCCGTCATATGACGGGCGGAGCGTGCCATTTACTGATAGGATTTAACTGCTCGCATGTGTCCGCAAACAGCTGGACACTACCGCCGTCAGCGGTGGAGCAAACCCACAAAGGCAGTTGCGCGACATCCCGGGCATTAAATTCCCGCCACCACCCCGAATTAATCGGGGTAACGTTGTCCAACACACCTTGTGGAAGAGTCCACATGACGGCGCTAGGCCACAACTGTTTGCATCAACAATGCAAGAAGTTTAATTCTTATCAGAAGCCATGAAAAGAAGATAACGTATGTCCATTTAGTACCCTCGCCTAACGGCAAGAGGTACTCCTGACCATGCGTACCTGAAAAATGCTTGAATTCCGCAAACCCGGGAGTAACCCCCCATTAGTTTGCTCCCCCCCCTCACTCACACTGCTTCCTGATGAACACGACCAGCAGCCCGGCAGCGGTACGGGAGAGACGTGACCTCCGCGCCTCAGCGGTCCGGGAGGAACATCACCACCTCCGCACCGCGCCGACCATTGGAGAATGGACGCAAGCCTACCGGCTGCAATCCTCGTGACTCAGCCTATCGGCTATCATCACGTCTCCTCCGGTCACGTCCGCCCCGCGCGCGGTCTCTGTCACGATCCCTTTCGGATCTCCTGCGATCATCTCGCCTTCGATCTCGCTCCCGATCTAGTGAATCATCATCACGACGATCACGAGCATCGTCCCTCCTCCGGTCGCGATCATCCTCGCGCCGCGGACGGTATCTGCGCCTTCTCGATTCTCTGGAATCCCTGGTGTCCACGGTCCTAACGGACCTCCGAGAAGGAGTGCGGGAGACATCCGATTCCCTACGTCTTCTCGCAGAGCGAGAATTCGTCACGATCTGGTTGAGAGCCTCCAGTGCTGACGCGTCCTCACCATTTCTAATGAAATCCCTGACTTGCTTGTTCAGCACTCTGTTGGTGGAGACAGCCAAGATAGCGTCCACCACCGAACTCCCAGGCAGCACCAGGAAGTGACCCTCCACCGGGCTCGCCGCGGTTCGCTCAGCCGACTGCAACCTGACCTCACCGCCTTCAGGTTTCTTTGCCATTGCCTTGGAGGCCGTCAAAGGCGCTACCGCGTCCTTTGCCGAAGATCTGCCAAGCGCGGAGTGAAGATCATCCCCACTAGCCTCTCTTGCTGCCGCACCTGGTCTGCTGTCAACGTCATCAGGCCTCGTCGATGCCTCTCGCTTCGTCGACTCCTTCACAGTCTCGTCAGGATCCCAACGGGACTTCCTTTCTCTCTTCTGCCCTTCAGCCGACCCCCGACTACCGCCAGGAGCGTCGTCTCTTCTCCTTCTTGACCTCTACCCTCGGTTCGGCCTGCTTCGTCTCCTTAGCCTCAGCCTTCGGAGCCGGAGCATTCTTCGCCTCAGACACAGAAGCGGCCTTCCCTTTTGGCTCGGCCTTTGGAACCGGGGTCATTTTAGCCTTTGCACTCGGCCGGGCCCCTTCAACCGCTATCGCGACCCAAGTCTTCTTCGGCTGAGCCGCTGCTGCATCAACCTCCATCGGTGCTGGTCCAGCATCATCCTTTGCTTTTGCCTTTGGGACAGATGGGCTACCGCCCTTCCCAGATCCTTTACCTGGCACTTCACCCGACTTCGGTGGTGGGCCGGAAGGACTACCGCCCTTACCGCCCTTTTCTCCCTTCTTCCCTTTTCCTTTTCCGCCCTTGGTGACCGGCTCCTGCTTGGGACCAGGACCCGGCGCAGCATGATGCACCGATTGAAGTCCTTCAATATCCACGTCCAATGGCTCCGGTTGACGACCATCAAGGACCGTCCTTACCCTTTCGTCACTAACGTAGACGAATGGGTCACGGAAGGGAGCGGGAGGCTCCGACTGCCCGGCACTGATTGCCTTCTGCACCTTGGCTAACGCCTCCTTCAATCTCTTCTTCTCATCGTACCCGGTCGCCGACACCATGTGCCCCCTGAGCTGCGATATCAACGCATGACTTTCCAGGATGTCCACGTCCTTCCGATGGGTCGGATACAATGGGGTCAGATGACCAGCCGCGGAGCCAATCACGTATAATATAGAAAGACAAGTACGTGTCATGGCGAGCGAACTTCCTAACGGAAGTCGTCATACGCCTACCCCACTGAGCAGCATGCCTCGGGTTAGCCCGGAAGTACTCCGTGACCGACTCAAATCTATCGACTTGGTTGGTCAAAATCAGGTGCTTCGCTACCCACTTCTCCACGAACGCATCTGAGGCCGAAATCCCCGACACATAGGAGAATTGGAAGAGCACCTTCGCCAGCTCATCCCACGCCGTATCGACTCCTCCCTTGTCTTCACCAAGATAAGGAGGCAGTCTGATGCCGCTCTGCACCGTCATCCTCAGGTCGGATGCCATGGAATAGGAAATCAAGTTCCTTTTGATGACTCCGACCACTTCGGAGGGAATCCTCTTGGGCTTGAACTGTCCCATGGTCCTCACCCACTCCGGGACGATGCGGCACCTCTCGAAGTCTTTTTCTTCCGCGTTGGGGATAAAGTTCGGGTAGAAGACCGGGAGCGCACACCCAGGACACAAATGCATCCCATTTGGCGTCATCTCCGCGCACCTCAAACAGAACGTGGTGGTCACATTCAACCTGACCTCCTCACGTGATCGCCTGTGCTCTCCCCTAACGGGGGTGAAGTCACCATAGTCCCACGCCCGATGGTACACTATCGTGTAATCATCGTACATGTATGCTGCCTTCCAAGCTCCCATGTGGATCTCGTTCCGAACGGCAAGGGTCTTCCTTCTTGTCAAAAACACGGGCCCAACCAAGGACCAGTGCACCCGAAGGTCCACCATTACCACCACGTACCTACCCGAGTAGTTCCGCAGCCTGTCTCTGACGTACCACGAAGGCGATACCTCGGCATCCGGCGCCATGGCTCCCACAAGTGGGATCAGGCCCTCATCCTGCCTACCATCTCCAATGGTCTCGTACACGTCGGGCCTCGTGATCAATATCTCGATCATGGCCTTTCCGTTTCGCCTCACCCTTTGGAGCTGAACCGCCTTCCTAAAGTTCGAGAACTTCATGACGACGTACCCCACCATGGGGAGTTCATTCCAATGCATCTCGTACATCAGAGATCCGCCAGGTGCATCTTCTTGAGTGTACCTTTGCCTAACGGCACTGTAACTCATGTCACGTCCGATCCGCGTGTGCCTAACGGCCACTAACCTAGTGCTCTCCTTGAGGAGGACACCATTCCCGTCGTACATGACCATGAGCATCGCCTCAACTTGCCCTATCGGGAAAGCTTTGAGCGTCGGAATGAAGAACTTCCACGACATCTCGGCGTTCTCCATGCCCGAGATCTCCTTCAGAAACCAGATGGCCTGGTCACTTTTCACCCAGTTTCCAGCCTCACGCCCGGTCTCCTTCAGCACACGTTCCTCGAATAACTCCGAGACTCTCTTCGAGTTGATGACCAAACCCTCGAAATCGCACGAGAGCAGTCTCATCAACTCCTTAGCCGCCTCCCGCCCTGCAACGGTGCCCGCGGTCTCCTCGTAGTTCGGGAGGTAGTCGCCCAACCTTGTTTTCGAGGGAACCACAATCTGGCATGTAGCGGCCTCATCAGGGATAACCCCAGTTTCCCTCAACTCTGGATTGATTTCCCGCCTATCGGCAAGATAATCCTTCCTCCCATCCAGGACCACAAGATTGTAGGTCATCTTGCTCGCCGCTTCACTAGGTCTGAACCTCCTGCTATCATCCAGCTGATCAGGAGCAAAGGGTCCACTGGGGGCAGCTGCACTTACCATAGGCTCTCCTCGCCCAGAGCATAGGTGCTTCTTGTGGAAGTTCACCATCTGGTTCAGCTGCGACAGGGCATAGGCTCGATCTTCCAACGATGCACTCTTCATCCCGGCCTCAGTCAGAGGAGCCTCAGGCTTGTCATAACTCGCCTTTCCGCCCCATCTCGCCGCGACTAGCTCAGCAGACTTCGCAGGGTCGATCAGATTGCCCGACCATTCAGGCATGTTGCTCAACCTCCTAGTCAACGCGTCTACCGACGCAGCCAAGTCTTCATCCGTCACGGTGTAAGGGTCGACCTTCTCCCTGTCTTCTTGACCCACGTCCGGAAGCCTATAGTCCCCGCGGATGGCCTCCATCGCGGCCCTCTCGGCTTCCTCAGCCTCCTTCTGCGTGGCCACTGCTCTCGGAATCAAGAGCGCAACCTCGGCTGGCAACGACTTCTCCATGTCTATCGGAGTGTTCTTGGGAAGGATCCTTCGATCATCTCCCTCCCCGCTGTACACATAGTCAGGAGCAGTCTTCCGGTACTCCTCGAAGGTAGCCCCTTTGAAGTTGGTGACCTCGCTCGGGTCTGCCTTCCCAGCCTCAGTACCCCGAGGCGTGGGCTCCTTCGTCCCGGTGGAATCCTTCTTGGAGCCTTCCTGATCCACGTCCATGTCGTCCTTCT